GACAACAGTGGAAGCCCTCTCACTTTGGAGCATTGTGTGGAAGGCGGGGATGATCGAGAAGGTCGATGAAGTTCGCTTTGATCTCTATCCAAGGAAGAGACGACCTCAAGATCTTCCCTACGTCTGGGAGGATGTCGTGCATGTCATGTTTCCAAACATGACAGTTAAACTTCGAGGTTCTTTTCCCTTAACTACCAATTTTGTCCATATAAATATTTACATGGCCTCCACATTAGCTCGTGGATCCAATCTGGATGTTTCTACACTCCCACTCAGGGAGGCTCCATGATCTGCATCTGATCTGTGTAGCTCAAATTTGTTTCGAGCTAGTGTCTTGGTCAAAATATCAGCAACCATTTCCTTGGTAAAAATGTACTCCAAGAAAATCTTCTTTCGCTCAACGTGCTCTCTAATAAAGTGTACCTTTATGTCAAGTGTTTTGTTCTTGAATGGTACTTCGGGTTTTTTGACAATTCGATGGCACTTCAATTGTTGCAAAAGATCTTGTGGAACTTGAATCTCAATCTGCTGCAACCACAAGTGTTGCAAAGGTAGCTCCAGTGTGCTCAGCTTCTGTACTTGATAGAGCTATGGTAACTTGCCTCTTGCTGGTCCAGTTGACATCCAAAAAAAAAAGTAGCTTGATGTTGATTTTCTAGATATGTTATCACCTGCCTAATATGAGAGTAAGATACATCCTGTGGCTGCTCCCACTGTTTCTGAGAGCAGTTTGTTACTTGTTGCTATATCTCAACCTATACTTCGATGTAGTTCTCTAGATATCTCATAACCCATTTAATAACACTCTATGCCAACTGCAAAGGCCAAGTTTAGTCTTGTGCATACTGCCAAATAAAGCAAACATCTAACAACTTGCTTATATGGAACGTTTTCCATAGCCTACTTCTCCTCCTCAGATAAAGGACTTTGTGTTGTCATAAGGAGTAGGCCTGTTGGAAGTGGCATTGCCATTGGCTTGGCATTTTACTTGTTGGAAATGGCATTGCAATTGGCTTGCTGAGAACTTCCTCCTAGTATGCCTGAGAGAGTTCAATGACACCTGCCTAGAACACCTCGAGATCTCAAATTTTGATAAAAAAAAAACATTGCTCAAAATAACATACCAGATTTAGCTCAGAGGCTGTTATCAAATTGTCATCCACAGCAAGGAGAGTGAAGTTGTGTCTTGAAAAGAATTTGTAGAAGTTGCCATCTGCTTAAATTTTGATAATGCCAAGATGTTAGAGAAACCTGTCAACATGGTTATACCACAATCTGCGCTATTGCCGCAAATCATAGAGTGCTTTTTTAAGCCTGCAAACAAACGTCTCACTTCCTTTCTAGATGAAGCTTTCAGGCTGTGAAACAAAAACCTCCTTCTGCAACTCGCCATAGCTGGTGAACTTCAAGATTCCAGCAATTTGCAATCTGGAAAAGAAGTAGAATGGACACTATCTTTACCATTGGGGAAGATGGTACCACAATCTTCTTAATTTCTCAGGTGGCAGAAAACCTGCCACCTGAGAAAATCCTTTGGCTACAAAACGAGCTTTGTAACACATCACCTCATCAGTAGTGTTGAGCTTGAGTTTGAACAACCATTTGGTACTGACGACCTTGTGGCCTGCTGATAGTGGAACTAAATCCCTTACCTGGTTCTTAAGGAGCGAGTTGGCTGCTCGCCATTGCTTTGCCTCTGGAGAAGTAAGAGCTTCCTGGACAGACTTTGGCTCAACCAAAGCATGTCCTACTGCAGCAAAATATTTGTGTCCATGCTGCGAGACTCTTAAGGCACGCTGTGACAAGTAACTGACTCTGCCGCTGCAGTCTGAAAGGGACAAGAAGACGATGGCATAGCTGTTGGCGACTGAGGAGCTGCTGGCACTGCGGCTGCTGCACCAGCATCACCAGACTCAGAAAAAAGTGTATCGAACATGAAACCATCGTCAAAGGGCGTGAGGACTTCATCTTCGTGATCAGATGAGACTGGCTGCTCCTCCTGGGCGGGATCTCGGTTTCTTGCTGAGACTACTTCTCTTCGCCTGCTGAGCGCCTTGCTGCTGGCGCTGTCTAGTGCCCGATTCCTCTTCAAGTAAAATTGGAGCTTGAACTCTTAAATTTAAAAACTGGTCTCGTTCATTTTTCTCCGGGACAATTGTCTTCGAACTGTCCAGGGGACAGAGCTCAAATCAGCAGCCAGTGACTAAGAAGAATGGCATGCGAGGAATGACAACGTGTTTTCCTCTGATGGGCATTGGACTTGGAAAGCTTCATCACCACCATCTTGACCTCACAAAGACAGCTGCTGAACATTGGACGACCTTGAAGACCACGTTTGGCAATCAAGTAAGTGGAGTTGAAGTCTAAGTTCTTCGGGTTTAGAATGGGATCTGACGAGTCTCCAGCGACATTTCTAGGCCTCTATTCTGTCCCAGCTCACCAGTTTAGGAGAGCTCGTAATTTCGTAAAGGAAGCAGGTCCATGACTTGTTAAAAGGTTCCAATGCCCATCAAGGACAACGATTCTTCTTAGTCACTGGCTGCTGATTTGAGCTCTGTACCCTGGACAATTCTAAGAAAATCGTATAGGAGAAAAATGAACATAATCTCTTTCGTCCAGTTTTCAAAATCAGTGCCACTAAACATCGGGATCGGAAAGGCTTTGCTTGTCGTCATTCCTGCAAGGGTTTCAACCACTGGCAACCTTGCTGGACAAAAAGCATTCGATTGCTCGATGTCGTTTTTCTTGTGTCTTCTTCTGCAATCGATCGTTCACACGCTGGAGAATGGCTCGTGAGTGATCAAGATCTGCTTGCTCTCACCAAGACTTTTCTGTTGCTTCTCCCAAGCGTCATTTCCCTCGGCTCGGATACCATGTTAGACTTGGAGGCGGTTACGCATTCTTTTCCCATAACTACCACTTTGTATTTTCTGCATATAAATATTTACATGGCCTCCACGTTAGCTTGTGGATCTGATCTGGATATTTCTACACAATCTTCTAGTACATGGATCACCGGGATCCTGACTTTAATGAATTGTGGCTTAGGCCAGCTACGGCATCCAGTGATCCAATGCCATTCTAGTTATGTCAAGGAGACGTTTGAGCGAGGAGAGTGATTTCAGCGATCTTGGCCTGTCAAGAGTGTCTTTAGTTGAGGGAAATGAAAGATCACCATATTAAAAACTTTGGCCTTGAAAAGCAAATGAGCGCCAAAGGGATTGCAAAAAAGGTGGCAAATATTCGTTATAAAACCTAGTCTTGACGGCTCATGTTTAAGAGAGACTACGCGGGAGAATACTTTTCTATGCAGCACGAACACGAGCTAGTCGCATCTCGCCTAAAATCGTGCGATAATCTCGACCTCGCATCGCAGCTCCACTCTAGGGTTTTGAATTTCCAGGGAGTGGATCACAGCGGTTTTAGATTCCTCTCAAATCTCTTGATCCAGCTTTATGGGAGACTGGGAAGCCCCAACAGGGCACTTAATGTCTTTCATGGGATCATCTCCCCAAATATCTTCTCTTGGAGCCTTCTTATCTTGGCATTCATCCACAACGCATGGATCAAAGATGCCAAGAACGCGTTTGATAGAATGCCCGTCCGCGACGTTGTGGTGTGGAATATGCTTATTACGGCATTTGCCCAAAGAGGGCATCCAGAGTATGCCCAGAACGCGTTTGAGCGGATGGCCGGGCATAGCGTGGTTTCGTGGACGACGATCTTAGCAGGGTTTGTGCAATACGGGAGATTCGATGGAGCGAAGCGCGTCTTTGATATCATGCCGCAGCGCAACGAGGTTGCCTGGAATCTGGCCGTGACGGCGTGCGCCCAGGCCGGGCATCTGCGCGAGGTGGAGGAAATCCACGCCAGGATGAGCTGCTGGAGCGTCGTCTCCTGGAACGAGATGATCAGCGCCTACGCCGGCCACGGCCAGGGCGATCGATCCAAGCGGCTGTTCGATGCGATGCCGGAGCGCAGCAGCGTGTCCTGGAACGCGATCCTGGACGATGGCGCCGCCGCGGGCTCGATCGAGGAGGTGAGGGCCAGATTCGAGAGAATGCCGGCAAGGGACGTGATCTCCTGGACGGCGCTGGCGGTGAATCACGCTCGCCGCTCGCTGATCGGCGACGCCAGGGAGATCTTCGATCGGATGCCGCAGAGGAACAGCGTCGCGTGGAATGCGGTCGCCACGGGCTACGCGGATGCTGGCCAAGAACAAGAAGCGCTGGAAATATTTCGCCGGATGCCCGTGTGGGATGCCGTATCCTGGACCACGACGATCGAGGCGCTGGCGCGCGCTGGCCGGATCGAGAGCGCGGCCGCGATGTTCTTCCGCGAGGACACCCGATCGATGCTTTGCGTCTTCTCCTGGACCGCGATGCTGCAAGGGTTTGCCGTCATGGCGCGCCCGAGCGACGCGGCGGCGGTGTTTGATCGAATGCCCGCGCGGGATCTAGTGTCCTGGAACGCGATGGTGGGAGCGGCAGCGCAGATCCCCAGCCTGATCGAGACGATGGAGGAGGAGCCAAGGATCTCCACGGCGATGGAGTATTTCCAGCAAATGCCCGAGAGAAATTTCGTGTCGTGGCTGGTTCTTCTCGCCGGCCACTGCCAGGGCCACGATCATCGCCAAGCGCGCGAGATCTTCGATCGAATGCCCCAGCGCGACGCCGTCTCCTCCACCGCCATGCTCACGGCCTACGGCCAGGCAGGGCACCTGGACGCCGCGCAAGAGATCTTCTACCGCTGCCCCGATCGCGACTTCTTCGTGTGGAACGCGATCATCGCCGCCAGCGCCCGCGCCGGCGATGCCGCTGGATCACTCCACCTCTTCCACCGGATGAAGCTCCAGGGCGAGAGGATCGACGAGATTTGCTTCCTGAGCGTCCTGGCGGCGTGCAGCCACAGCGGATTGGTGAGCGAAGGCCGCGAGTTCTTCGCGTCGATGATCCAGGACTTCGCGATCGAGGCCAAGGGCGAGCATTTCTACTGCCTGGTGGATCTGCTGGGGCGGGCAGGGCGGCTGGGCGATGCCGATGATCTGATCGACAGCATGCCCTTCGTGCCGGACGAGACCGCCTGGAAATCGCTCCTCAGCGCTTACAATCTAATCCCAGATGGATCGCACAGGGCCAGCAAACGTGCCGGGGATGTGGATCCACTGAGCGCCGCCTCTCACGCGTTGCTAGCAAATCTCAACTCATACCAGGTGTCAAGAACCCTAAAAACAGAGCTTTAGTTTTTTAGGGTTCTTGGCGATGAGGGTCTCTCGGCGCGGCGTCCTCGCCTTGGCCGTGCTCGGGGTTTTTGTGTCGTCCCTGTGCGCGCAGTTGGAGATTACCGTGATAGAAGATGACGATCGTGCTGATGGTGACGACGCCGCGCTCGTGATTTCGCAGCAGCAGAGGGAGATGCTTCAAGTAGCGCTTGCGGATTTGCCGCTCGGCGAGGACGAGGAAGAGGAGGCTTTCCAGCTCTTGAAGCCAGCGGCGGGGCACGACAGGCTCGAGGTAAACGAAGTAGTTCTTGAAAAGCTGGCCGCCATCAAAGAGCCAGTTTCGCTGGTTTCCATCGTCGGGCCTTACCACAGGTATGTTCTTTTCTTCTTTGCTTTTCTTGCATGTAGCCTGATCCTTTCTTTTTCTCGTGGACAGTGGAAAATCTTTCCTTCTCAATGTTTTGATGAACTCCACGCGTGGATTCACTGTCGGTGCCAAGCCAGACCCTGAGACGAGGGGTGTCTGGATACGAATCTTGCCGAAGGAGAAGCTCCGCGGCGTGGATGGTTCTCGCGTCGTTCTCCTGGACACCGAAGGTTTCTACGGCGATGGCGCCTCCAGGCTCTACGATGCTAGGATTTTCGCTGTTTCGACACTGATAAGTTCTCATCTTGTTTACAACACTCTGCGAACAATTGGTAAGGATCCACCTGTTTTTCCCGAGATCCTAGACAAGTTCTCTTGCTATACTTTCAGGTGACGCTCAGTCAGTGAGTTCTCTTGCCGACTTGTCCAAGCAGGCACAGGTGTTTAACTTACAGAATTGGCTTCACACCGCTCACGCAACAGCTGGTAAGGATCATACTTTTGGTGTTCTCTTCTGACGAGCATTCTTTCTTTTCTTTCTTCAGAGACAACTAGTTCGATAGATGTTGACCCATTTTTGCTTTTGGAGACACTTAAGTTCCCCCCGCTGACATGGGTAGTTCAAGGATTCGACATGGACCTGAATCCCGCGACCTCGCCGGTCAAGTATCTCCAGAAGTTCATCGCAGCGCATGCTCAGACAGGAGACATGACTCTAGACACACTCTTCAGTCAGGGAATTTCGTGCTACACATTGAGGACTCCGACCGATATGAATTCTCTCCGTGATCAAGTCGGTGGCGAAGGATTAGCTGCAGATACAGAGCTTTTCGACGCCTTGCATCCAAAATACGTTTCGGACCTTGACAGCCTACGCCAGGGTGTTTTCGGAGATCTCAAGGCTAAAGGGGATGGAAACTTTACTGGACGTAATGTCGCCCGGCTGATCCCACTCCTGGTGCATTATGTCAACGAGGATTTCCCTCTCAATGCGGATAGGAAACTGAGAGATGTCTTGGCTGACATAATTGCGGAGGGCTCTTTCTCTGGCGGTGTTCAGTACTTCCAGCTATCGATGGAAGCATTCTCGAAAGCGTCAAAGCAGAAGATGAAGGGAAAGCTTCCTGCATCAGAAATGCCGGATTCAGATGCTGCGCTGAAGTCTCTTGCCGCATCAGCTCTTACAACTGAAGAACTCGAACGAGTTTTGACCTTCACTGGTGAGCTTTATTCAATTTCCGGGGATTCTCTATTCTAAACTTCCTTTTCTGTAGAACGAAAATCCATTGACTATTGCAAGCGGCGCTGCGTCGGAGTGCCGGAGGAGCTTGCCAAACCAATTTGCGAAACTCAACTCGCAATTAAGATTGAGCGTATGAAGACCCAGTACAGGTACTTATACTTTGATTTGGTTGTTCTGGTATTTACTTACCGGTTAACAGGGAGGAGAATGACCGCAAGGTTAAAGAAGTACTAGTTCTCTTGGGAGAACGTCTGCGTGCGTCTGCTGTGAAGCAAATTGAAGGACTCGTACTGCCTATGCTAGAATCCGAGATTGGAGCTCAGTGCACTCGAGCAGAAAAAAATGTCACGCGAAGGTGCGAGTCTTTGTTTCATCGGCTTTCTTATCTTGCATTTGTACAGGTATGATTCTTTGGCTGGACCACATAAAGGCAGTCACCTGTACACTGAGGCAAAGAACCAAATGCAAGAAGACATTCAGCTTAAATGTGATCGCGTGAAACGCCTGAACGAGGAGAAGATCTCAGGAATCCTTAAAAATGCTGAAAAGACTTGTCGACAGGCCTACGAGTCATCTATTCGAGCTGGTGGATTTACCGGAGAGACGGGCCAGAAACCTTTCTCCGTGAAGAAGCTTCAGGATCTCAACCTCGCAGCTGTGGCTTCCGGAAAATCAGCGTATGCAAATGCCGTGAAAAGTGAGAGCACCTGGATTGGTCACTTATATCAGCCGTACCGGTATCACGAATACGAGTGTGTAGAGTACTGTTCCAAGCAACGTTACTCGGAACTTCAGGTATCGATTACCCACTACTTCGCTCTTTTATTTAACTCGTTTGACTTTTCTAGGCACAAAACGAGCTCAATGTCAAGGCTTTCTGTGATGTTCTCGAGACACAGTTAGAAAAGCGTTACAAGGATGAAGTAAACCGTTTCGCACCATTTCCTGACAACGACGAAACCATCACGGCAAAGGTTTGTGTCTCTACTCGAGCTTCATGTTTTATTTTACTGACGGTTTTTCTTCAGGCTGAAACACTTGGGAAACAATTGCTGCAAGAGTACACATCCGCCGTTAAAGACTTTGCGTCGGTTCCAACCGTGGACGAGAAGAGGAAGGAGCTGTCTTACAGAATTGGCGAGGCCCGTGACCACCTCCTCAAGAAGAACACGGCTCTCATGGCCGCCTTCTGCTACGATCCTCTAATGGACGCTTACAAAGAGCTCCGGATGCAGGTAAAAGCAAGCACTTCTTTCCAAATCAATTCTCTTGACTCACCATCACAATTGCAGGACTGTGAGAGTGGCAACATGTTCAAGTCGTGGTCCTTCTGGTCGGCTAAGTGCCTCTGGCCGGGCCCCCGTTACGTCTTTGGCTTCAAGCACGCTGCTCACTCCGTGGCACGAAAGCACCTAGACATGGCCGAGTCCTCCGGCGGCTCGGACTCAACCAAAGGCGTGGTTCTCAGCCCAGGAACTCGCAACAAAGTGATCCAGGCCTGGATAGAGCACGACTTGGCTCCGGCATCCAACGTCGTCACGTTTAACTTCGCGGTTCTCAGCGCATTCGTCGTGGGTACCATGGGATTCGTCTACTTCTTGCTGCGGTTTAGCTTCGGTGGTAGCGGTGGTGGCCACCGTGGTGACCGTGGCGGCGGCTACAAAGCCATGGATGGTGTCCAGTGGTCACACTACGAGACGAGGAAGAGTTCACCGAACGTTCACTATAGGCGGTACTGATTTGAGATTAGCACTGACTTTCCATTTGTGTACAGGCTTTTTGTATAGAGTAATTTAATCGATTTGGAGTTTAAGCTGTAGCGGGCTTGTAATTAATTATTTCAGGTTCTTTCTAGAAGTTTTTTTTTTTCTTTAGTTGACATGGTTTGGCGGCTGGACGCCTAGTTCCCAAGTTCCATGTCGTACGCACTGTTCTCCTGCCGTACGAGCGCGGTAACAGGGATATATAATGCTCGCATTCCCCGTGAGGTTCTTGATCTCCTTTGTGTAGAGAAAATGGCTGCCGAGGCTGCTATTGCTGCTACTGCCGGAGAGGTTATCACTTGCAATGGTAAGCGATCTATATGCTTCAAAGTTCTCCTGTTTTTCTTTGCTTGACGATCGATCTTCTCAAGGGGTTTTGCGTTTCCTTCTCACGATCCTGTCTTTCCTTTTTGCAGCTGCTGTTGCTTATGAGGCTGGAGCTCCGATGATCGTGGACAAGATTTGCGTCGCTCCTCCAAAACCAAGCGAAGTTCGTCTCAAGATCACCCACACTTCGCTGTGCCGGACGGATCTTACTTTCTGGAGAGCCATTGTAAGTATTTTCTCTTTTTCTTGCCAATGTGGAAATCCCCCGAGTTGCGGGATGGCGGCCATCGACATCGTTCTCGAGAAACTTTACTCAGTGTGTTCTCAACTTTATCTCCAGGGCCAGAAGAAGGTCTTTCCACGCATTTTTGGCCACGAGGCGGCAGGGTAAATAGTGCTCTAGCTTTGATTTTTATTTTTCTACTATAGATATCAACTTCATTTTGCAGGATTGTTGAAAGCGTTGGGAAGGAAGTGACGGGCGTGAAACCAGGAGATCATGTAGTCCCGCTGTTCACAGGGGAATGCCAAGAATGCCGGTATTGTCGGTCAGGGAAAACAAATCTGTGCCAGAAGTTTAAGGTCGACACGGACAGAGGAGTGCTGGCGAGCGACGGCACTTCTCGATTCTCTACCAAGGATGGCAAGCCAATCTACCACTTCCTGGGAACTTCTACGTTTAGTGAGTATACGGTGGTGGATCAAGCATGCGTCGCCAAGATCGACAAGGCTGCTCCTCTTGACAAAGTTTGTTTGCTCAGCTGTGGCATGACAACAGGTATAGCTTGGAAAACTTTGATCGTTTTTTTAAATTTTTTTTTTAAAAACTTTTTTTTTGTGATCTTCCAGGACTTGGAGCTTCTATAAACACTGCAAAGGTTGAGAAGGGATCGACAGTGGCAATCTTTGGTCTTGGCACTATCGGATTTGCTGTAAGTAATAATCACGATTTTTTCTTCTACCTTGGCATGGTGTTCTTATTTTCATTTCTATAGGCTGCTCAAGGTGCTAAGATTGCCGGTGCTTCCCGGATCATAGGAATCGACGTGCTTCCGGAAAAACTCGCGCTAGGCAAGGCTTGAGAACTGTCCCGCTTGAGCTTTTGTGTGACGGCAATGTGTGCATGACTTTTCAGGAAAGAAATTCGGGCTTACAGACACCGTGAACCCGAAGGAGCATGACAAGCCTATCCAAGAGGTATTTTCTTCGGGAGAATTTCCTTTTGTTTCAGACTGTTCCCTTGTAGGTGATCAAGGAAATGACTGATGGTGGAGTCGATTACGCGATTGAGTGTGTCGGAAACGTCAAGCTCATCGAAGCTGCTGTGGAATCTGTCCATGAGGTAATAAACTTCCAAGAAGGGAAGAGCTTTTAGCTTTCACTGCTCTCGATCTAAGAGGTTTCACTCGTGAAGGGCTGGGGGAAGGCAGTGGTGGCTGGCCTGGACGACAACACAAAATTTGTCTCAGTCCATCCAGGCAATTTTCTATATGGTCGTTTGCTCACTGGAACATTCTTTGGCGATTACAAAGGGCGGAGCCAAATGAACGATCTCGTGGAAATGTATATGAAAAAGGTGAGAAACCAAAAAAAAAAGAGTTAACACTTTAAAAAGTGATCAAAACTTTGCAGGAGCTCAATCTTGACGACTTCATCACCCACAACCTTCCTTTCCACAAAATCAATGAGGCATTTCAGCTGCTGATCGAAGGAAAATGCCTGCGATGCGTTCTTCACATGGAACACGATCACTAATGTGTAAATTATATGTATTCCCCTTACCTTAGGGCTTATGATTTTCAATGCCCGTCGCCAGCGGCGATTCGGGAGCTCCCCATTGTGTGACGGACAATGCCGCAATCTGGTGCTTCTTCCTCCTCCTGAGGCTGTAAGTAGCGACTCAGGAGCTCCGGCAGCAAGAAATTCGTCGACATTCCCGCCGTCGCGCGTCGCGGCATTCGCATCGCTGCTCCAGCAATGCGGCCGCTCCAGATCACTGCCCGACGGCCGGAGAATCCACGCCGAGATCGTCGACACCGGCCTGGGCAAGGATCTCTTCCTGGGCAACCATCTCATCCAAATGTATGGCAAATGCGGCGCCATGGAAGATGCCAGGGCCGTCTTCGAGAAGATAGAGTCTCCAAATGTTTTCTCCTGGAGCATCATCATCGGTGCCTGCGTCGACAACGGCCTCGCCAGGAGAGCTCTCGAGCTCTACCACTGGATGGATCATCAAGGCGTCAGGCTCGACATGGTGGTGCTCATCAATCTCGTCAGCGCTTGCTCGAGCCTGGGCTCCCTGGATCATGGAAGAGCTCTCGAAGCTCGAATCACTTCCATGGGATTCCACCTCCATCCCGTGGTCCGGAACTCGCTGCTCAACATGTACTGCAAGGCCGGGAGCCTCGACGACGCGAGGAAGTTCTTCCAGGACATGGCTGGCGACCAGAGCGTTGTCTCGTGGACGGCAATGATCTCCGGTTTTGCTCTCCACGGCCGTGAGGACCTCGCACTGGATTTCTTCCGGAAGATGGTGGCAGAGGGGGTGAGGCCGAACGAAGTGACTTTCGTGAGTATACTCGGTGCCTGTGCCGCCGCCCGAGATGTCAAGCATGGCACGGCCATCCACGAGCTCGTGGAGAGCTCCGAGTTTGGCAGGAGCTACTTGAGCGTCGGGACCGCGCTGATCGACATGTATGGGAAGTGCGGGAGGCCGGAGCTGGCGTCAAGAGTTTTTGAGAAGATGGAGCGCAGAGATCTGGTGGTCTGGAACGCAATGATCACGGTGTGCTCGCAGCAAGGACTGGACGAACAGGCTCTGAGACTGTTCCGGGTGATGGACTTGGAGGGGCATACTCCCGACGAGGTCACTCTCGTCGCAGCCCTCGAGGCCTGCTCCAACTTAAACTCGCTCGCTGCCGGGAAGAAACTCCATGAGCTCATTCTCGACGCCGGTCTCGACTCCTCGATCGTGAGGAACTCGCTGCTCCACATGTATGGGAAGTGCGGTGGCCTGGACGAAGCGAGGAGAGTGTTTGAGCACTGCGGTGACTGCCGGAACTTGATCACCTGGAGCACGATGATCGCGGCTTACAGCTTGAATGGAGACGGCAGGCAGGCACTCTCGCTGTACAAGAAGATGGATCTCGAGGGACTGAAGCCGGACGAGTACACTTTCACGAGCCTCCTGGACGCGTGCTCCATAGCCGGCGACGCTCTCGCCGAGGGACGAGCTCTCCACAGGCGCCTCGAGGCCAAGGGACTGGAGAAGAAGATGGTGCTCGCGACTGCTCTTGTCAACATGTATGGACGATACGGCCAGCTCGAGGACGCGCTGAGAGTCTTTGAGAAGATGAACCACTGGAACTTGGTGGCCTGGACGGCTCTCATAGCGGCCTTTGCTCAGCACGGCGACGTCCACGCGATCGATCTCTCGTGGAGAATGCATCTCGAGGGCGTCCAGGCCGATGACATCGTCTTCCTCAGCGTGCTCCACGCTTGCAGCCACGCCGGGGTCCTCGAGGCTGGACTGAGCTGCTTCCAGGGAATGGTGGCCGACTTTGGAGTGAGAGGTGGCGCTGCTCACTACAGCTGCATGGTGGATCTCCTGGCCCGCTGTGGACGAGTTGCCGAGGCCGAGGAGTTGCTCCACAGCATGCCTTTCGAGCCGGCTCACATGGAGATGAAGACGCTGTTAGCTGCGTGCCGGGTGAGCGGAGATACTCCCCGGGGAGCTCGGGTGGCGCGTCTCGCGTCGGGTCTGATACCGCTTGATGCCGCTCCCTACGTGCTCATGTCTCACGCTTACGCCGCCGCGGAGAAGTGGGACGAGGTGGCGGAAGTCCGAGAGAGAATGGCGAAGCTGGGCGTGAAGAAGCCGAGGGGCTGGAGCTGCGTGGAGGTGAAGAACAGGGTCCATCAGTTCTTTGCTGGGAACTTCTCGTGGCATTCGGAGGCTGCCGAGATCGAGGTGGAGCTACGGCGGTTGCAAGCGGTGGTGAAGGAGGCCGGCTACGTTCCGGATACTGGACAGATCGGACACTGTGTTCAGGAGGATGACAAGGAGGATCTGCTGGCTCTCCACAGCGAACGAGTGGCTATCGCGTTTGGACTGCTGCGAGTTCCGGCCGGGCTTCCCATTCACGTCGTGAAGAACCTCCGGGTGTGCTCCGACTGCCATGCAGTGGCCAAGATCATTTCTAGGAGTGTGGGAAGGAGGATCGTGGTGAGAGATGCGTACCGGTTCCACCGCTTTGAGAATGGCACTTGCTCCTGTGGAGACTACTGGTGATCAGCTTGTTGAAGACCTGGAGCTTGTGATCTAGAGCAAGCCCAGCCGCCATCGATCTCGTCCAGCTCTTCACGTCCAACATGAAACTCGACGATCACCAAGGCCAAGTTATGGAACTGCGTCGGCTCCTGCGAATATATTGGAAAGCGCCACCCTCGCTGCCGAATCACCCGGATTCCACCGCAAGACTTGGCCAGCCACCTTTCTCCCACGCTCCACATCGCCGTGGACTTTACACGCGGAGAGTAGCGTCATCCAGGGGAGCTCGTCCTGGCTGAACGGGATCCTCTTGATCACCTCCTCCGCCTCGTCCAGGAAGCCAGCGCGTCCCAGGAGATCCGTCATGCCGCTGTAGTGGCTGGGCAGCGGAGCTATGCCGTAGTCGTGCCGCAGTGACGCGAAGATGGTCTTGGCCTGCTCCAGCCTGCCCGCGTGGCTGCAAGCCCAGAAGACGACGATGAAAGTCACGTCGGTTGGCTTGATCCCTTCTCGCTGCATCTGCAAGAACTGCTTGAGAGCTTCCTCGGCGTCGCCGTTTTGCGCCAGTGCCGCCACCAGGACGTTCCAGCTGCTGGCGTCCTTGCCGCGGATCCTCTCGAATGCCTGCCGAGCACCGCCCAAGCTCGCGCACTTCCCAAACATGTCCACCAGCGCGTTCCCGACGAAGAGCTCCGAGTCGGCCCCTCTCTCCCCTATGAGCTCGTGGATCCTTCGTCCCTCGGCAAGCAAGGCCTCGCCAGCGCAAGCTCCCAGCATCGTCGTCCAAGTGATGCTGTTTGATTTCGTCCCCTCGGCGATCATCCGGCGGAAGAGCCTCACTGCTTCCTTGGCCATCTCTCGCTCGACGTAGGCTCCAAGTATCATGTTCCAGGTGATCACGTCCCGCTCCTCCATCACCTCGAACAGCTTGCGAGCCTCTGCGAGGCGCCCGACGTGAATGTAAGCTCCCAAGAGTCCGTTCCAGCTTCCTAAGTTCTTCTGAGGTATCCTCTGGAAGGCCGCGAGCGCGTCGTCGAGGCTCCAGCACTTGGCGAACATGTGAACGACGGCGTTTCCGACTGACGCGTCCGCTTCCAGGCCTGACTCTCGAACGATGCTGTGGAGCTGCTTGGCTCGGTCCAGGAGCCGTGGAGTTGCGCAGGTGGCGAGGATGGTGCTGAAGGTGGCGCTGTTTGGAGCCGTGCCTTGCAGCTGCATGCGCTCGAACAGCTCCAGAGCCTTTCGAAACTCGCCATTCCGGACGCTGCCTTCGATCACTGCGTTCCAAGTCTCCACATCGTCCCGCTGCTTCTCCATTCTCTGGAACACTCGCTGTGCCTCGTCCAGCCTTCCGAGCTTGGCATAGGTATGAAGAAGCGAGTTCCCGATGAGAGCATCAAGGGACTCCACTCGCTTCTCGACTTCCAGAGCACGTACTAGACCGTCTTCAAACGCTGCCGGAGTCGAGCAGGCGCTAAGAAAGGTGACGAAAGTCACGCTGTTCGGCTGCACTCCTTCCAGCTGCATCTGATGGAAGATCCGGAAGGCCTCCTTGTCGCAGTTGTGGTGGACGTAGGCTGCGATCATCGCGTTCCAGGACACGACGTTGCGTTGAGCCATCTTCTGGAAGCACTCCAGAGCATCTTGTAGAGTTCCGCAGTTCGCATACATGCTCACGAGAGCATTCCCGACCACAAGTTCCGACTCACAGCCGCGCTCGATAACCAGAGCATGGATCTCTCTGCCTTCTTCCAGCATTTCCGGACCTGTGCAAGCCGCCAAGGCCGAGGCGAGCGTGAAACCGTCCGGAAGTAATGCTTCTTCTTTCTGCATTTGCTGGAAGAGCTCGAGAGCCGCTTCGCTGTATCCGTCTTGAGCATAAACCGAGATCATCGTGGTCCACAGCACTACGTCCTTCTGTAATATAGAATCGAAAACGCTCCTGGCTTCATCTATGCTGGCGCACCTGCTGTATGCCTTCACAAGAGCACTGCCAACAGCTTCTTCCGACTCAAAGCCGCTCGAATGGATTCGATGATGCACCAGTTTCGTCCGTGAGAGCCACTTCGGACTTTGGCTGTCGCAGGAGCTAAGTAGTGTAAGATAGGTGCTCTTGTTTGCAACGAAGCCTTGCAGCTGCATTTCGTGAAAGAGCTGAAATGCCTCCTCGTAACAGTGTTCTTCAGTGCATGCTCCAATTGCACCGTTCCAAGACGCAACGTCCCGCTCATCCATCTGAAAGAACAGCATCCTTGCTTCGTTGAACATTTTGTGTTGAATGTACGTCTCAATCATCGTATTCCACACGACTATAGCTGGTCGATCCATCTTCTCAAAGATCGTGACCGCGTCGTGAACGCTTTGGCACCTACTGTACATGATCAAAAGAGCATTTCCCACGATATCGTCAGACTCGAGTCCACTCTCAAAAGCACAGGAATGAATCGTCTTACCCTGTGCAAGAGCTGCAGGACCGGCACACGCTCCGAGGACAGTAGCGAAGGTTATCCTGTCCGGCAAAGAGCTTTTCAGCAGCATGCTTCTAAACAGTTGAATGGCATCTTCGTTGCGACTGTGCTGGACGTAAGCCGCCGTCATGACGTTCCAACTCACAGCGTCTGTTTGAGCCGCCTCGTTGAAAACAGACTTGGCATCGTCAAGGCTCCCACACTTGCTGTACATGTTGACAAGCGCATTTGCAACAAAGACATCAAAGTCGTATCCAAAGTCACGCAAGCGAGAATGGATGAGTTTACCTTGCGCGAGAGCGTCTGGAGCCAGGCACGCACCAAGAGCTATCACAAGAGTAGACTTGTTGCTATGAACTGTGTCATCCATCTCCATTTGCTGGTAGAGCTGCAGAGCCTGCGAGTGCTGCCCATGCTGCACGTAAGCTGCTATCATAGTGTTCCAGGTAATCACGTCTCTCATCTTGAAGCTGTCGAAGAGCTCTCGAGCGTTTCTCAAGCCTCCACACTTGCCATAAGCGTTGATGAGAGCATTCTCCACAATGGTGTCTGCCGCAAAACCACGCTCCACGATCCAAGAGCCTAGCCTCTTGCATGCTGCTATGCTGCTGCAAGCGCTCAACGCCGTGACCATCGTGACTTTAACCGGAGAGAGCCCCTCTAGCTGCATTTCCCGAAAGCGCTGCATCGCGATATCCTTTCGATCGTGCCTTGCAAGCGCTGAGATGATCGCGTTCCACGAAACCACGTCTCGGATCTTCATTCTCTCGAACACCATGGTGGCGGACTTCAAGCTCCCACATTTGCTATACATGTTGACGAGAGCGTTGCCCAGAACTACGTCCGAATCGAGCAGGCCTCTCTCCTCAACCAGCGCAAAAATCTTGTCCCCAGCTTCCAGCGCCGACGGATCGCAGCACGCGCTTACAACAGCCACGAAGGTGACGCTGTCTGGCTCGATTCTTCCATCTTCTTGCATCGCCTGGAAGAGTTCCATGGCCTCTTTGCAATGACCAGCCTGGGCATATGCCGTGATGACCGCGTTCCAGGATATAACATCCCTGTGATCCATCCCATCGAAGACCTCTCTCGCGAGAGCCAGGCTGCCGCACTTCCCATACATGTTGACCAGCGCATTCCCCACGGAGATCTGTGTCAGGAGCCCCGATTCGATCACCAGGAGATGGATGAACTTCCCTGCGGCGAGACTCTGGATCCGGACACACGATTTGAGCGCTGTGATGAAGGAGACGTTGTCCGGCAGCAATCCATGGAGCAGCATTCGCCGAAATATCGCCAGCGCCTTGCCTGGATCGCCATTGCAGTTGCAAGAAGCGATGGCGCTTGTCCAGAGGACGAGATTCCGGCTCCATGAGTGGAGATCGCGCTTCGATTGAGGATTACCTGCGCAAGAGTGGAAGAAAAGGCGCGAGATTCTCAGCAAACCCTTGCTGATTCCAAGGCGCATCAAACGAAGAGCATTTACCCCAAGAGAAAAAGAATCATTCGTTTAGGTCAGCACGTCGAAAACATGCGTTAAAGGCAAAAGTTTACCATAGGATATTCGTGTCCAAGTGGAAAAGGTGCGCTAAAGCCACGTGTTTGTTTAGGGTTCTTATCAAAAAAATTTGGAGAGAGGGAACAGAAGGGGGAAGAGAATGGAGAGGAGGCTGTGGATTGCGCACCTCTGCCTCGCGATCGTCCAGCTCGACTATGGCGTCTATCACGTCCTCACCAAATTTGCGCTCACCACTGGCGCCAATCAGGTCGTGTTTTGCGTGTTTCGCGACCTCATCGCGCTCGCCATTCTTGCGCCCCTCGCATTCTTCTACGAGCGGTGAGTGATGTCTTCGCGATTTCTTCTGCCGTGTTCTTCAAATCGATTGAAATGCGCTCTTTCTTCTACAGGAGGAGCAGGACTCGCGTAAACTCTCGGCTTTTATTCCATTTCTTTGTCCTGGGACTGTCCGGGTGAGCGTAAGAATCCCGAAATCTTCGATCCAGAGCTTTACAAGGGGCGTTTGGTTGTTGGAGCAGGATCTTTGGGAACCAGCTACTGTTCTTGCTTGGACTTAATCTCACCTCTCCCTCGTATGCCGCCGCAGTCCAGCCGGCAATTCCAGTGTTTACGTTTGTGCTCGCCTTGGCCAACGGGTAAGGAAATCTCTCTTCTCTCGGTGCTTTTGACAAATCAAGGTTTTTCCTTTGAGAAGTGAAGCCAATGTCACAGAGTTTTCTCTGCTTTGAGTTCTTCGACAGAACTTTCTCTGCTTTGAGTTCTTCGACAGGGTTTTCTCTTCCACTCGAAGACAATCTCTTTGAGTAGACCATTTCTCTTTTGGATTTTCTGGTTGTAGTGACGCAAACGCGATGTTTTCTCCAGAACGGAAACTTTGAATTGGACTGGATATGATACTTTAGCGAAAGTGGGAGGAGTCTTTCTCAGCGTTTGTGGAGCGCTGCTCATGGCCTTGTACAAAGGTCCGCTCCTCTTCGGGCGTACCGAGCATTTACATCATGGTGGAACTATTGTCGGAGTTTCGTTGTTGCAGAGAATTTCAAGCGCAACCGGTGCCGAGAACTGGCAGCTGGGAATTCTTTGCCTCCTTGGTAATTGCTTCCTCATGGCTTTGTACATTGCTTATCAGGTAAGCTTTTGCTATTCGTTTCTGGTAATTCGTTTCGGCATTAACTTGGATGGAACTTTGTTTTACCAGGCGCCCGTCTTGGCGAAGTATCCTTTCGGATTGACAGTCACTGCCTACTCGTATCTCTTTGGAACGCTTCTCATGGCATTTACTGGAGTGCTGGCAGTGGGCGATACGACACAATGGCTTTTCAACCAAGTGGAAGGCTACGCAGTTTTGTACGCGGTAACTTAGCTCGAGCTTCCTTTCCATAAGTTCTCCATTGTTTCTCGGTTTTTCACTCCAGGGAGTTTTTGCGTCGGCAATCAACTATGTGCTTTTAACTTGGTCCAACGGTGTTGTTGGCCCGTCGCTCGTCGCGCTTTACATACCTTTGCAGCCACTTGCCTCCTCTACGCTGGCTTGCGTTTTCTTACGAAGTCCCTTGTTCCTGGGCAGGTAAGAAGCTCACTTCTTACTTGTATATCGATAGCTAACAGCAGAAACTTTCTTCCAGTGTTCTTGGAGGATTACTCATTGTTGCTGGATTACTTCTCGTAACTTGGGGGAAGGCTGTGAGTGAACGCGAGCGGGAGCGTGAAAGCCAGAAACCCCTTCTAGAAAGGTAAGGTTTTGGCTATGGAGTTTTCCAAGTTTCCAAGCTTTGATCCATTGGCCGTGCAGTGAAGCGTAAGTGGATCAAAAGCGACTGCGTTTTCTATACATATATACGCGAGGAAAACGTCACTCGTACTCGTATGTACAAATTCGTGGATAAGGCTGCTGGTCCAACAACTAGCCAACCAAAAGGCTCAAAAGGAAGAAACGAAAACAATGACCGCTCAAGATAGTACGTTCTTTATCTCCGTGCTCGAAAGACTTACAAACGTGAAGGAACGCAAAAATTATTTTTTGTTTGTAATCTACAACAAGCACCTTCGCTTAAATTTACAGCCTTGTTCTTCCTCGAGCTCTTGCGTGAGTTCTTTCACTTTGATCTTCGCTTTGATTTGTTTTCGCTGGTTTGCCAGACTGATTGATCTCCTTTTTTCAATCCTCCACGCTAGCTCCTGTCAAACTGAGCGCGTGGCTCAGTTCCATCCGGTACTCCAGCCCGCGAATGTGATGCCCCATGAGCATACACCTGCAAGCACACGATTATGCTCGTTAGAATCCATGGAAGCAAAGAACTGTAAGAAAAAAAACTCTAGACTAGACAATGTTAGAAAGTGTCAGGAGCCGAGTAGCCACCACACAGCACCATTTCGCTTTGAAAGGAATGCCTTCCTTACCTTGGGTATTCACAGTTTCGTATCAAACGCTGCACGGTGGCCTCGACAAAACTCCTTGCAAAATCACACGTTAATAAGCACGAGATACGCACCAGAAGAGGAGTCGGGCGAGGTAGTCGCGGGTTGCTGTTGCCGTCGACTGGAACTTCAGGGGTAAGTTGTTCGCAAACATCTCGGCCGAGCTGCTGCTCTTGTTCCACGGGCTTGAAATGGAACTCGACGGCGGGGATCCGCCACCGTTGAGCTGCGGCGGTGGCTTTGATTGTCTCGACTTGCACAGGCCATTGAGCAGCCCGTCGATTACTTTCTGGATCACCTCTTCCACATCTTTAGAGGCCGGGTGCGAGAGCTCGGCAACCTGAAAGATGAAAGAAAACAACAGTCAATCAACGTAAGGGACAATGTGGTCTTTTTGGAACACAGACCTTGTCTGGTTCCAGAGATCTCAAGTAGTCAAGGAGGTCGTTCTTTTCATCCCCGACAAGCTTCTCCATCTCCAGTGCAGTTTTAGCTCGTTTGCAATCCTCGAGCTCCTGAATTTGCAAGATTAGAGTTACATAAAAGAAGAACCAAACGAAGTATTACCTTCTCCATCGCTAGCATTTTTGCCTGTATATGGCTAACGTAATCCTGCGCTTCTCGTGATAGGGAACCCAGATTCCCAGGCAGGTTCAAAGCCTCCACTTCTTCCGAGACCGAAGAGTCACTGCAACTCCCCTCTCCAACGGTCTCGTCCGAAGCATCACAGGCACGGCTGTCCTCCAAGTCTTGTGACTTTTTTTCTTTCACGTCACTTGCAACTGACGTGCTCGCAAGGTCTTCCTCGGAGAGCTGTAGACTTCTTTGCAAGCAGAGCCTGTACTCGGCATTCCTGAGGGTGTACCTATGGAGCGAAAAAAATAGACAAAAGAAAAGGAGTTAAGAGAATCACACACGACTCTGAGAGAATCTTCAAAGAAGAAAAACAGCCAAGCCTTACCCAGTCATCATCGAAGACACAAGGAGCTTTGCGAGTGGTTCTCTGTAAGCTTCAATCGTGACTTTGAACTGGTCCGACGGTAGTAGCCCAAGCATTCCAGAGATGGTCCTCTTCATCGCATCCATGCTATCAGCCGACGCGTCTTTGCTAATGCTACTCACGTCTAGAGGCTCGATTTGCTCCACCATGCTAAGAAGAAACGCTTTGTCCTTCTGCAAAGAAGAAAAACCAAAACGAAGAGATAAGAAAGTAGCTCCGATTGCCTAGAGAGAGATTCCCACCTCTGGATTGTAGGTTTTCTTCGCCGAGAAATCCGAATCGGAGGAATCCCAGAATCCCCCGAGCCCATGCAGCAAGCACACCGAGAATGCACTCCTCCCGGACCTCTTCCCACGCCAAGAACGCGGAGAATCCCCCGCTCTGTGCTTGAGCAGCGCACTCCCCCACGAAATACCTGGCGATGCAAATCGCGCCACTGCCGCCGCGTCGCCCTCCAGCGCCCTGGCGACCGCCGCGGATGGAGCGGCCACCGCCGCCATGGCCGCGGCCATTCCTCTGTTAAAACCCTAATTGGACTGGTGGATGAATAGCGAGCGACAACGATCCCCGCCTAGCGTTAGCTCGCCCATGATGCCACTCTTTCTGCCCTATCTTTCTTCCTTTACCTAGGTTAAAAACGAGGTTTCCAGTCCTCCACAACGCATAATTTCCACCATACGTTGTTTCTATGGATCACTTTGACAAGAAAATTCCAAGGGATAATCTCCCTCACATTCTTTTTATACTTCCTTCCTTTCTGGGCGATGAGCCACGATCAAAGAGAAAACAATGTATGTATTAGATACGAAAGAGAGGCGATTAAACACTGGACTGGATGGACTCGCTGTAAGACTCTTGCTGATCGTAAAACACCGACCAAAGCATCACTCCACCATAGTTGTGAGATGACTTGATCTCCGGCAAGACGCTCGACGTCGCGACATGAGCCGGAAGAAACCCGGACCCGGCAGCGCTCGGAGACGCCGGCAATCCCAGATAGATCTTCGCGCTGGGAATCGACGAAGACCACTGCTTCCAAGAATCCAGGAGCTTTCCATCGTCGCCATCAACATATGCGCAGGGGGGATTGTTGTAGAACTGCACGAAGATGAAATCAAACAATCCAGGAGTTTGCACCGCGGAGCCGAGATTTGCATCCGGGAAGGGGCACTGCGGCGCGGCAGACACCAAAACCTTGGAGCTCCCGGCAATGCTGCGAAGGTGGCGAACGAGCCCGGCGTATAACTCTGGGGTGGCGCCCGACTCCACGTCCAGATCGATCCCGTCAAGAACAGCGTCGCCCAAGGGCCTGTCCGAGGAATCCCCGCCGAGGAAGCTCGCCCACAATCGCTTGGCGAGATCGGCGGCGTCGGCATCGCTCACCAATCTCCCGGGAGAGTCGCCACCGCCGAGCGACAGCAAGACTTTGACCCCGCTTGACTGGCACGACTTGATTTGACCGCTTAGAACAGTGCAGCCGTGGGAGTATGGATCGCAGTGGCCGGCGAGATTGAGCATCGGGCGCTGGAAGTTGCCGAACTCGTTGAGGAAGGAGAGGAGGATGATCTCGTAGTTGTCGCTCGCGCAAACCTTGTCCAGAGGACCTTCATTTCCATTCTGTCCCCAGTAAGCCGCGATCTTGCCTTTCCCGCCCGGGTGGGATGGAGATGGGGGGCTCGGCGGACTTGGGTGATGGGGCGGAGATGGATGCGATGGCGATGGATGAGGAGGCGGTGTTCCTCCGTATGGTGGTGCCGGTGGAGTATTGCCGCAGTATTCCGAGCCTTGGCCGCAGTAGTTCCATTTGCTACAACAGTATCCCGGTGGGCATGGCTTCGAAGAAGAGCACGAACCATCTTGGGCTTGGGCGAAGTTTGCCACTGCTGCCCCCAATGCTAGAGCTAGAATCACAGCAAACATCTTTGTCATAGCTCGATTATATATCGAGAAGAAGGATGTGATACTATAGCGATGTTTGCGACGAGCTCGTTTAAATCCATCCTAGCAATCCAGCATTTTCATACGTGACAGAAGCGACCATCCTTGCACTTCACTTCACTCGAAGAATCCTTCACCATTTTTTTAAGGCATTTTCGCGCGCTAAAGACATTGAGAAGAATACATCTAAAGATTCTTATTTGAAATCTCAAATCTAGCGTGGTCTAGACGCTGGACAGGATGGAATCGCTATACGACTCTTGCTGATCGAAGAAAACAGCCCACAGCATGATTCCACCGTAGTTGCGAGTCGATTTGATGACGGGAAGCACGCTGGATCTGGCCACATTTGCTGGAAGGAAGCCCGATCCAGCGGCGGCGCGAGAGGCCGGCAATCCCAGGTAGAACTTCGCCATGGGGATCGACGACGTCCACTGCTTCCAAGAATCCAGGAGCTTCTTGCTATCGCTGCCATCGAACGCGCAGGGGGGATTGTTGTAAAACTGGACGAAGATCAAATCAAACAGCCCCGGAACCTTGAGCGCCGAGCCGAGGTTCTCGTCCGGAAACGGGCACTGAGGAGCAGCAGCGACGATAATCTTGGATCTCCCGGCAATGGTGCGAAGATGGCGGACCATCGATGCGTATAGCTTCGGGGTCTTGCCCGACTCAATGTCCAGATCGATTCCATCAAGAACAGCGTCGCCTAAAGGCTTATACGAGGATTCACCGCCGAGAAAACTGTCAAACAATTGGTGGGCGAGATTGGCAGCGTCGGCCTCGCTCACCAATAGGGCGGAACCGCTGGCGCCGCCGATCGAGAGCAAGACTTTGACCCCCATTGACTGGCACGACTTGATTTGACCGCCCACGGCGGCGCAGCCATCCGAGGTGGTGGCGTCGCAGTGGCCTGCCAGATTCAGCACGGGCTGCCGGAAGTTTCCAAACTCATTAAGGAACGCGATGTTGATGATCTCGTAGTTCCCACTCGCGCAAACTTTGTCCAAGGGGCCCTCTTGCCCGAACTGGCCCCAGTAGGAGACGATCCCTCCATCTCTTGATTTGCTACGCAATCTGCGAGGAGAAGAAGCGGCTGCTATTGTCGCTGCTGCTGCTAAGACTATCACAAGGAATGTTGCTTTTCCTGCGAGGAAAGCCATGGAAGTTATCGGTCGATCAAGCTAGCTAAGATGCTTTGGAGGATTATGATGTGTTGCAAGGAGGATGAATCAGGGTGCCTTTTAAGGTGCTCAATTCAGCTCTAACTTCATCACAAATGACAGAGTAGCTTGTACTACTTGGATGTCTCAGAGTTTCTTGGCTCTTACATTTTAATCCATTCCTTGGTGACCACTTTCTCTTGTCATGTTCTTGCTTGATCAGATACAAAGCGTGTTCCAAGCAACAGTGAACTTGAATAGCTACACAAGAAGGGAATGCCACGAATGAAATAGCTAAACAGTGACTCGAATTCAAAACAATGGAGGAATCAATCTATTTATGTACGTGGTGAGGAACAGTGCGTGATCACACACTGGAACGAATGGCCTCGCTATACTGCTCCTGCTGATCATAGTAAACCGACCAAAACATGACACCACCATAATTCTTGGAGCGCTTGATCTCCGGAAGAACGCTCGACTTGCAAACATTCGGAGGGAGAAACCCACTGCCTGCCGCGGAAGGAGAAGCCGGAAGCCCCAGGAAGATCTTCGCGGTTGGAATCGCGGTAGTCCACTGCTTCCACGAATCAAGCAAGTTCTCAGCTCCACCGCCACCATAACCGCAAGGATTATTGTAAAACTGGACAAACAAGTAGTCAAAGAGTCCCGGAATCTGGATGGCAGTCCCGAGATTCAAATCCGGGAACGGGCACTGGGGAGCTGCGGTGACGACGAGCTTCTTCTTGCCAGACCCATGAGCGAGGCTGCGCAAGCTCTTCACCATCACTCCATATCGATCCGGGATTCCACCACCCTCGATATCCAGATCAATCCCGTTCAGCACTGCCGATCCAAGGGGACGATCCGAGGAGTGCCCGCCGAGGTAGCTGTTCCAGAGCTTCTCCGCAAAATCTCTAGCATCGGCATCGCTGACCAAGTACCCGCCGGAAGCTCCGCCACCAATGGAGAGGATGATCTGCACGCCTTTGGCCTGACAAGCTTTGATCTTGCTGCTGTAAGCCTTGCAGCCGCCGTTGGAGGGATCGCAATGGTTGGCCAAGTTGAGAACCGGATCCAGGAAGTTGCCAAAGCTGGCCAGGAACGCGAGCATCACGATCTTGTACTTCCCGGAGCTGCAAACCTGATCGAGATCATCCTCTCCGTCGTGCTGGCCCCAGTAGGCTGCGATCTTTCCCCTCCCGGATGGATAATCCGGAAGATCGGCGTCGGGAGATGGAGCTGGAGCTGGCGATGGCGTCTCACAAGCTGCCGCTGCTGCTGCTGCTCCAAAGACGAAGAGAACCGCCGCCAAGAGAGGGAATGGCGCCGCCATATCGATTTCTTCTTCGCTGGATTTCGCTGCTGGTCGATCGAAGACGACCGCATTTTATATCACTTTGTCGATAGTTGCGACAGGATTCTGGCCCGCGCCCGAAAGTATCCGCTCGTTTGTGATGAAGATTCGCACGCCGTTGACAAAAACACATGAGCCCTAACCCTAGGGTTTTAACAGCATTTCAGCAAACATGAAGGCGCGCGCGAAGTTTGCTACTGCGCTGACCCTATGGATGTAGCAACTTTTCTTTAGGGGTTGATACATCAGATATTCAACATGTGATAGTTTATTTACCTACTTTCACTACCTACGCTCTTTGAACTCGCCCAGCCTTGACTTCCAGAAGCTGCTTGCGATTTCTTCTATCCCCAAAAGATACCTCACAACATCAATGTTGGATAGGAGGGCCGGAATGGTAGCTGCTGTCAGAAGTGGTCATATATCTACAGTCATAGAGGGCATCTTCGATCTGGGCGGGAAGATGTGCGAGGTCTAACTCAGCGCCCATCTCAACACGTAGGTGGTGATTACCACATCTGTATGCGAGCAAGCCCCAGCGGGGGCATGATGATCCATGCCCATCGGATTGATTGTTGGGTAGGTAGCATACATGACGGCTCCCACTGTTCTTGCCAGCAGCCATTGCTCAAAAGCCTGCGAGCTATAATCGTCTCCTCAAGATCAAGGCCAAGCTTTGCCGTTCATTTCCTGAGCTCACCGGCCTTCATCTCGCTCGTACATGAGGCTGATGGAGTCATCAATAGCTCGCATCTAGAGCTGCGTTTGCAGGTTGCTAAGCTGCCGCTGGGTCTTCACATTAATTGATCGTCCTTTTCCATGTAAGGAGCTCCATCAAGGCTCGAGCAGGATGATCGGGTAGGACACATCTCCTGTATGAAGCTCCATGCGGATGAAGTGGTATTGGAGCTCCTCCCAGGACAGTAACTCTTTAGAATTAATAAGGTTCTAATCCACGCAAACTTTTCTAATTCATGTCTTCTAGAACATGGAAAAGTTGTCTGATTGATCCACTCTGGAAATTTTAAAATGCATGGTGATGTCAGTTACCTAACTGGTCCACTCTGGAATATTTAAAATGCAAGGTGATGTAGGCAATCATGTTCGATTGACCCACTTGGAACTGTATTGAACGTTGATCCACTCTGGAGGCGTGTCAAACATGACGGTTCGCTGGGAGATTTTTCCGGGACTATCATGGCCGACACTATTCAGCCTTTGGACTGCAGGAACATTAGTGCCTGAATCAGACATCACCAACAAGCAAGATCACACAAGCAAGCAAAATCTCCCTGACACCTCCAGCCTAACACCTCCAGCAATCAGAGAGAGAGATCTTAGATCTAAGAAAATAGAGGTGCGCTCAACATTGTCAAACCAAACAAAAAGCTCACGAGGGCCCACGCATGGCATCGGAGCTATAATTTACGCAGGAGATGTCTTCCTTTGAAGCGGAATATAAGAGAGGTCTTCTCCTTGAAGCAGGGACGATGGTATCTAGAGTTTCGTTTGAAGTTGGTGACGGTGTTGTTCCAGGATGGCCAGCAACTAATTGCAGAGGCGTGCTGTTATCAGACAGAGTTTTTAGGAAAGCTTTTCATCCACAACTCAAACCAGTGGTGTGGAGTGGAGGAGTTGCGAGGAACATACGTCCCAACCAAGCGGCGCTTTCGGCTCTTTTAAAATATGGCGGGCGCGGGAATTTTAAAATCCGGTCGTCCATCCACAGACACACAATAAGTGTGCACTAGATTTAAACACGTGATACAATGCTATGATTTTGGGCTCGCCGGTCGCAATTGCCGCTTGCCTGCCAGCCATCCATTCATATTCATGCCGGTCAAAAACTACCATTTTCCTCTTCCGTACGTCCGGGAGTCTCAGCCATGGCCAGACAGTATAAAAGGACGCGAATCCCCTATCCTCCCTCCCTCGCAGACTCCAACAGAAAAAGAAAAAGAGAAGGAAAAGAAAATGGTCCCGCCCGGCATTTTTCGCGAAGCTAGCAAGGCACCGCTGCCGCGCGGTGCGCTGGCGCTGGGCTGCGCGGCCTTTGTGGGATTGGCGGCCTACCGCGCGGCGTGGGCGGCGGCGGCGGTGTGCGCCGCGGCGGTATGGACGTTTGCCGCCGCGGCGCCGCGCGGCAACCGCACGACGGCCGTGGTTTCAATGGGCAGAGGCGAGCGCCAGGCATCGATAGGGTTGAGCTCTCCGGCATGGGCTTCGCGATCGCTGCGCCGGATCCACGCCGCCGTTGCCGCTGCTACCGCCGCGACCATGGCGTTCTTGATCAAGCGGCCGAGGGTTCTTCATCAATCCGGCCTCCCTGAGGGCGATTTTCATGGGGATTCTTGCCCTTCTTCCTCTTCCACTTCGATTCTCGATCTTCCGGATCTCGCATTGGACGACATTCTCTCCAGGCTCCCGGCGGACAGCCTCCTCCGATTGGGCGGCGTGTGCCAGGAGCTCCGGCAGCGCTGCAAGAGCGGCCATTTCTGGGAGTCGCTAGTGTACGAGAAATGGGGCGAGATCGCGGGTCCAGGGGCATACAGGGAGTGGTGCCGCAATCCCGTGCTGGAATCGTCGCCCAGAAAGGGGAGGACTGCGCAAGAGATCGCTGCCAAGAACGCGTGCGAGCGGCCGAATTGCGGGTGGAAGCTCTTGTGGCCCTCGATCGCGGCCGCTTGCTTGTGGCCGCTATCGGTGGCCAGGGAAAGATTGATGGCGTTGCGGAGCAAAGCGCCCAGGCCCTCGGATTCGCTCATGGCGTGGTACTGGGCGCTGGAGACCGGGAATTTGTGGTTTCGTGGCCAAGTCTTTAACCGAGAGGTTCGTGTTCTTCGTGTTCTTTCAAAGAATTCTCTTTTGCTCACGGCTTACTTCCCTCCACAGAATGGACATGTCGGATTTCTCTTGTCTTGCTACGATGCGGAGCTCAGCTACGTTCGCTCGAGCGACTCGTTTCGTGCGAGGTAAGCGTTGTTTGCGCGAATTTCACGGCAAAAATGTGATTTTTCTTGAATCGAATTCTTTTTTGTCAGGTATCCTCCACACGGACCTCGAGCTCTGGTTATGGAGGATGATATATCCTGGGAGAGAGTTCGAGCCTCGCCCGTGCAAACTCCGGCTCACGATCTACACACCTCGGATTGCTTGGCCGAGCTTAGGCCCGGTGATCACATCGAAGTCCAGTGGAGACGAACCAAGGAATTTCCATACGGTATGTGTTCCTGTTTGTTTTGCTCGAGCGGATATAAACTTAAGACAAGTTTTTGTTTTCTATCTGGCAGGCTGGTGGTATGGAATTGTTGGTCACTCTGATTCATGTTCCAACGCCGGGAATAATAGCAGTCGTCAGCATTGTTCTTGCCAGAGTGACAGTAAGTATTCTGATTCTCTTTGAGTCTTTTTCTTTTGCCATTCTTATTAAAGAGTCCAATGCTTTTTTGTAGATACCGTATGGCTGGTGTTCAATCAGTTCACAAGTGGCTCGAGGTGGAAACGAACACCGATCGATCGCGTGAGTCACCGAGAGGAAGGCAACGAAACCGATGGATACTATGGTGGAATCCGGAAGCTACGATCAAAGGATGAGATTTCTATGTGGGAGAGGCTCTGGCCAGTTGACATTTTGGAGTAGACAAGGTAGAAGATAGATCAAACAATTTTTCTTGGCCAGATTCCATGGCTTGCGAGACGTAAGAGATTGTAAAATTTTAAAACAAATTCAGGATGAAACGAACGAGGATCACTCGGACCAACGTTTTAGATCAACCATCTAGCTTGGCGGCGGCTTTGTTTTTCTCCAACAAGACAATAGCGTAAGTTCCATCGTCTTGACGATCCTCCCGATAGACGCCGGAGCTCATCGAGAAGCTCTTCATATCCAACCTTTGGATGTCTCTCCTGGTATAACCATCGGAGCAAAGAACCAAGTACTCGAGATCTTCGGTAACTTCAAGCTCCACAACATCCGGCACCGCGATGATGACCTGCTCGTCAAACGCCAGCTTCTTGTTGCTCTTGAGGTCAAGGTCTCCTAGAGCTCTCGATATGAGGAGTTGCGAGTCACCGATTCCCATGTACAGTTTGCTAGCTGTGCTCCCATAACTGAAAATAGCGTCCGCTTTCACACCTCTCTCTCGCTCCTCAGGAACGTGGGGCGAGTGATCCTTTGTCAAGTGCTTGGTCTCGCCACCTTTGCGGTAACTACAGAAAGCATCACCTAAGAACACACACACACACACACACACAGAGGTTAGCTCTTTGTGCAAAACATGTGCAAAACATACCTGCGTGGGCAACATACACAAAGTTCTCAGTCACCACAGCGACAATCGCTGTGGTTCCAGCTTGCCAATATCTTTGCTCGTTTTCCTCTCTCATGAGATCGTCCATCTTGAGAAAAGCATTGCGTAGGGCTTGCTTGATTCCAGTGCCGCTCTGAAAGCCCTCGTCCTCCACCAAGACCGGGAAAAGATTCTTGGCGCAAAAGCTTGCCGCTGCCCTGCCGCCGTGACCATCGAAAACTCCAACCAGAGATGCCTTGGGAGTGGACCCTATTGCGTACCCATCTTCTAAACACTGGCGCCTCCTGCCTTCCTCGGAGCTTGCATAGACTACGACGCGAGCGTCCCTGTGGAAATCCTGTGGCTTTAGCCGGCCGAAGCTGTCCAGGATTTTCATTGTCGCCATGAATTAGCTTTTGCCAGAATTGGACGTTTTGGGATATTTATAGTAAATTTGAGATCTTATTATGGACTGATTAATTTTATATTAGCCATTCAAAGGGCTGGGAAATGAAAATTAGCACCTATAAGATTTCCAAGCGTATTTATCGATCCAATGAAAATTTGCTACTGTGCGTGCAAGGCTTTTGTCGGATCGAACCAAACGGTACCATCGCCGCCTTAGTTTGGAAGAAGAAGTGTGAGATTTCTCATCTGGAAATGACGGCTTGGACAGTGAGAATGGTTGCGATCCAGTGGAGGACATGGACAGATAGATTGGATGAGGATGAGCAGGGAGCTTGTGGATGAGCAGGGACTGAGGGACAGCTTGGACAATCCGGAGCTACTTGGTGATCAAGAGCTTGAGGACGAGGAGGACAGCTTGGATGGGGAGCGAGGGACGGCTTGGACAATGGTGATCCGGAGCTTGTTGAAGTGAGAGGGTGCTTATACGAATGCAACAATCAATGGACGTGCGAAACTTCTCCATAGCAGCTCAAAACGAGATTCTTTGAGGGTGCTCCAACGTCTCTGTGGCAAGACTCGTGTCTAGATACAAGATGTTTGGAATGGTGGCATCGTTAAAATGGGGGTATTCCATAAAGTTGAGCTTTTCCAAGGAAATTGTCCATGATGTGGAAGTCCATGTGATGTTGTCTTCCACTATTTTCATCTTGGAGATCAAGTCAAGCTGCTCATGAATAGCAGAACTTACTGTCATAAGAGGAGGAAACAAGAGTGGATTGGAGGAGCAGTAGCTACAATGGAGCAGAGTTCAGAGAGAATTGAAGCTTCTGGGATCCAAACACCACATCATACTTGCATTCGAATGGGTACGATTAATAAAAAATGCCGTTTAAAACGATAATATGGTGTTTAAACACCAAGAATATTAAAAAAAAACCCCAAAGAATATGCTTTCTTTTACTTAGGATTAGGGTTCATGTAAAATCAGGGTTTGTGGGATCAGGAAGCGCTGAGGTAAGTCCGGGATGGGGGGAGGAAGGCAGCCATGCTAGAGTTGGGCTCATGTTCTGAAACTGAGGCCAACATCTGAGACAAGCCACAACATGAGTCCATGGAAGTGTAAGTATTGCTTGAATACTTACACTGGTGCGGCTGAATGAGTTAGTGCTCACCTTGGGGGTGTGAAAAGAAGGAATGTAGAGATTTGTACAGGACAGGTGCCACTGGAGGTGGTGAACAAGGCTCGGGCATCTTTTAATCGTGTGGAATTCATGAAGAGCTCCATGATTGCAGCAAGTCCCCAAGAGAGACTTGCCTTAGCTCATGAGACTGAGGTCGGTGAGGTGAGCAGTGGTGCCAGCTGCAAGGCAAGTGGTGGGGCTATTGGAGGGCTGGGTGAGGTGAGCAGTGGCAGTGTTCCACTTTCCGAGAGCAGCAGTCTTAAACAAAGTGCTGCACCGGCACTGGATGGTGGCATTTGAAAGACGATGAAGTCTGCAAAGGTTCAATGTCTGGATGATGCCATGGCCGAGTTCTTCTACATTGAAAATATCCCTTTCAACACCATTCGGAGGCCAAATCTGAGGAAGTTGCTTCAAGCTGCTATCAACTTCGGCCTTGGAGCTCTTGCACAGATGATGGGATATGAGAAGCTACAAAGTACACAGCTGAAGAAGCTTTATGATAGTGTCAATGCTCGACTTGATCCAATCTGTGAGGGGTGGAGAAGATATGGAGTTAGGGTCTGACAACCGTAGCCGATCCTTGATCAACTTCATGGCCTCCAATGTCCAAGGTTCGGTTTTCTTGAAGTCTGTAGATTCCAAGGGCAGGACAATGATGGGAGAGTGGATTTAGGTCGAGCTGAAGAAAGTGATTCAAGAAGTTGGCGAAGAAAACATTGTTTACGTGATCACTGACAATACATCAAACTGTGTGCAGATGGGAGAACTCATGACAGCTGAGTATCCTCACATTCTCCACAGCCGGTGTGTGTGCCACGTCTTGGACCTTCTCTTTGAAGATATCGGGAGCTTGTCATGGGTAAAACCACTGGTGAAAGGCTGCAATGAGGTGGTAACTTTTATCACCAAAAAACCTCGTGTTCTAGCTTTGTTTTGGAAGTTGAGTAATCGGGATCTCATCAAGCCAGCGAGCACAAGGTTCGCTTACATGTTTCTAGTGATATCTCAACTCCTGAATCTGACGACCTTGGAGGCATTGAAGGAGAAGGTTGTGAGCTCCGAGTGGTGGTGATTGGACGTCACAAAGACCGCCAAAGCCCAGTGCATTTGAACTCAAATCTTAGAAGAGACTCCAAACTCTTTCTGGACTAGGTGCCAGCACTTGTTGGTGCTGCTTGGACTGCTTGCTCCTCAAGGTCTTGAAGCTTGCTGACCGAGAGAGGGCAACTTCCGGTCTCATTTTTGAGGCTATGGACCGGATGAATGAGAAGCTTTTAGAGGTTGTTGAGACTGGGATTTGAGCCGAGGAAGAGGTTGAGGAGATCAACAAATTCATGATGGAGGATCATGGTGAGGGAGGTCGGAAAGCAGCTTGTTGGTTCCAAATGCATTCAATCTTGCATGGAGCTGCTTTTGTTCTAAACCCAACTTTTCTTCATCTCCCTCTTGACCAGGAGGCTCAGGAAGATTTTGTGGAGTACCTAGAGTTGTGTTGCAAAGGAGATCAAGGACTTCAACACAAGCTGTTGCATGAGTTTCAAAGTTTCTGTCAACAACTTGGCTATTTGTTCTCTTTAGAGGCAGCAAAGCAGGTGTGTATAAATTGTTTGTTTGTCAACTTTTTAGACTGATTCTCTTGTATAGATGGAGAACTGGAAACACCCAGTGAGTTGGTGGAGCAACTTTGGTGTAGGCACACTAGAACTTCAAAGGCTTGCTTTATGGATCTTGAGTCAGCCAGTTTGTGCTTCACCATGCGAGCGAAACTGGAGCTCATGGAGCATGATCTAGATGAAGAGGAGGTCTCGACTGCTCTCCAAAAACTCGGAGAAGCTGGTTTTTGTACACACAAATATGCGTGTCGTACAGAAGATCAAGTCCGGGAGTTTGAGGCTTATTGAGCATGATCTTGATAACCTTGAGCTTAAGCCTTAGTGGCAAAGGATCTTTGCACTTCAAGAGGTTGTTAAAGAACCTCTTCAACAACTTAATGATGACAGTGCTAGTGGTGATGATGTTCTAGATTTGGAGGAAGATTAAACCTATATTATATTATGTTAAACTTTGTTTAGTAACAGTTAATTATTTTTAAATTATATTAAAACTGAAAACCATTATACCCGTTCGAAAAAAAGCTAAACGGGTATTAAACGTTCGATACCCGTTCGAATCCAGTTGCATTCGAATGTTCAGATGCAAGTATGCACCACATATTCATCCTTCAAGGTAATTGTATACTAATGTTTTTTGCTTTGGCCAGGGTGATCCGAGAAACTGTGCTGTGATGTTTCACTAGGACGGGTATAGAGGCTCAAAGATAGTTCATGATCCATATGCTGTTATAGAAGCTCAGGTGCTAATTGGAGAAGAGGTTTTGACAATTCGACCCCACAATTCAGTTGTGGAATGTCAAAACCTCTTCCTTTGGTGTTCATTCCTTTCTCAACAAGTCTGGCCAAAGACGTGCTCGAAAGTATTTGGAAGGACTTCCAGTTATTTTTGAGGCCTATAGTAGACGACCTGGAGCAGATGTTTGTGGCATTGATGCAGACTTCAACTATCAAAATGATTTTGGCGGGAACTTCAAGTTGTGAGTGATGCTTCTAGCATTTATTGGAGACTACCCTGCTCAGTGCAAGACAGGGATGTTTCTCTCTGGGATGCCACACTATTGACAAGATCACTGCTTAATATCAAAGATCTTACAAGAAAGAGAGTGAGCACAAAAATAAGTGGATGAATAATGTGTATGTCAAGAATCGGTTTCAAACAAGGTTTCCACCACAGAAAAGGCTAGCTCACAGCATGTATGAGGGTATTAACAAAGTCTGCCATGAATCAAAAGGCAAGATAACAAAAGGCACTTTGATTTCTTGGGATGTTCTGGCATATCAAAACTATAGCAGCTTCATAGGCTTGACAGAATTGAGCCTTTGTTAGACCTTGTCTATGATGGGATGCACATATTAGCAATCAACTTGTGCAAGAAGTTTAGTAAGAGGCTATTGTTTGTTATGAAGGAGTGCATTGATGAACTTATGGCAATCATTGTTCTCTGCACATATCAAGATCTATATGGCCATAGAAGTTTGACCATAGAGGGGGCCTAGAAGTTTGTGCAGCTATGTGTTCCACACATTCTTTTTCAGACAAGATCCAGGACACCATCCAATCCACTGGGCGCCATCAGACATCAATGTTTATATGCTGCATTATAAAACATGCCTTCGAAAGCAAACAAGGCATCTTTCAAGATTTTCCATACCAGAAGTGGTTGCTGGCTGAAGGTTGTATTAGTGGTAGTTGACAAGGAAATCACCAAAGATGAGATCCTCAAACAGGATTATAGTGTTCGAAATAGCTCTGTCCTTGTGCACTTCAATGCTTTCTCGTAGGCAAAAGCACCATTGTTCATTCAAGGAGCTTCCTGTGTTTTATTGTAACCCATCAACAACCTGGCCTTTAAGTTGCTTGTCACTGAGGGAGAATACTTTGGTTGATAATCCAGCCTCATTCTACTGTATTTTCTGATGTCTTGGATGAGTACACACCATCACTACATAACGTGGAGGAGAATGACGAAGATGAAGTATGCAGCCCTTTAGACATCACCATGAAAGTAATTACTCAAAAAGGTAATAAGAAGTTCCACTTGATCAGAACTAAAAACTTTTCCTTCTTGTAGGTAGAACTTTCTGAAACCAAATTGGAAACCAATGAGGTGGTTTCGTAGCTTTGATTAGCCAAGAACTGTTTGTTTGTTTCTTCTTGTAGGAGGAAGAAAATGATACTACTCCAATATTGAAAGCTCAAGACATGATGGATAACATGTTATCTGGTTGTTCCTCCCCCATTGGAGCGAAGAGGTGGTGTAAAAGAACTTCGAACATTCCGGCGGCCCAGAGTCTTCGCGATGGTGTTGTATATCTAAAGCACTTATAGTCACAATTAAAGTTTTATCTTTCTCAAATTTACAAACTGAGGTGCTAGTGAATTTAAGTTTCTAGGCATTTTCATCTCTCATTGCTATAGGTGTCTGGTGTAAAGATTATGGTGTCAAGCTGGGACTGCCTTGTGCATCGAAAGGCATGATATGTGCTCTTATTGTTCTCGATTTTTTACATCTATTAGCAAGGTCGAACTTTCAAGCAAGGTTGAGCTAGTCAAGAAAGCTCGACTGGCTGCGACCACTTGAACTCAAGTAGTTGAGAAAAACAGCTTGGTCGCTAACCAAAAGGAGTAAGTTTATATTCTTCAAACCAATCAATATTTAATTCACTCATTCCCTTTTAGACTGGATCAATGGTAACTAAAGCAAGAGGGAAGAAGGCCAAGGTACCTCAACAGTCTTGCATTCTTTTGCAAAAAAAACACTAATGGCTATTAGCAAGTTCATCATAAAAACTAGGCCCGAAATTCTCTAGAGTATTGTTAATGAATGTACTCAAGAGTGAATGCTTACTTCCCAAGCCTACTTCAGAAGTCTTTTCCCTAATTGATGTTAGAAATGGAGGATATGTAGCATGACCATTAAATGATGTGAAAATCTATATGGAAAATACTGCACTTTCCTTCTCCATAAAAACTGCCTTATTTTCTTTTCAATCAAAAAAGAATTTCTACTAAATTTTCAGCAAGAAAGATTAGAAACTTAAATTGAACACAAGGAATGAAAACCTGAGGTGGTAAAATTTTGCCCACCAGATGGGTACCATCATTTTGTCATAACACTATTTAAAGTGGTGAAATCATGAATTGTTTTTTAAAAAATTGGGTCAAAAAGCCCCTCGAAAAGCTTCATTTATGAATTATATACTTAGTAAGAATCTAACTTTTCATAATACTAAATATACCAATAATTCTCATTATTATTTCTTATAAATCTTTAAATACTCTATAAAATATATATTTCCATGATAAATCTCGGAGGAATCCCCACTAGGAAATGGACTACACATTTGTATGCAAAAATACCAAAGAACTAGACGATCTAAGGATGTTATTACTATGTAAGAAAATTGGCAGTTATAAGTTCAAATCCTAGAGTTTCCAATCATTCTAGTATGGAATACATTCCTAATCTTACTACCAATCCTCTCATTTGCTGAATTCCTTCTGTAGGAATTTTGAAAATAATATGTTATTAAAAAAACAAATAGAAGTAATTAAAAGCAAGAAAAATAGAAATTTTGCTATCTTTATTCCTTCTTCTTTAAAAACATAAAATGTATTTTACTATAGAGACAACAAACTAAAATCCATCTTTATTCGATTGTATTACCTGTTTATAGTGGAGAGTCTTGGTAACGAATGGTGCACTTGTCCTTGAGCATGAGCATTGCTGCAATGGCATCACCGCACTCACGCCAAGCCCGACGAACCAAATCCTCGACGCAGCTTTTGCACATCCCAGGGTTGCCCACCATGTTGAAGCACTGGGCTTGTCCATAGGCTGAGACATCGTCGCCACCATTCTTGACACTATAGGTCATGTTATTGGCGTATGCTGTGTTCTGGATGAGATCCGTCAACGTCTGGTTCAAGCTCGTCCAGTAAGTGCTCCCAGTTGGGATGGATTCATCGCTGCAATAGCCCGAGAAATCTACATCCATGGCCCTCCACAGCTTGCTCGTGATCGTGCCCCTCGCCTCCACCGCGATCGTCAATGCCATTGCCAGGGACATGATCGCCACCAGGATCGCTGCCTTAATCGCCATCGCGATCGCTATCCTGAGAAAGAAAGGGAGGAAGAAGGACTCTCGAGGAGCAAAATTCCCTATTACTGAGCGTGAATCTCCTTTTGCGTGAACTTTTGTCTTTATATAGAGGCACGAAGACACTGTGAGCCAAGCTCATGCGCCACACCTTCAAGTGTCTCTCTTTCTTAACTCTTTATAACACCAAAACAGCAACGACTCGCTATCCAAAGCCTAACAATGTGGTATCACGAGAAACAGGTGGCGAATCAGAACTTGCTGTTAAGCACTATCTAATGCAAGAAAAGGTGGTGAATCCAAATTCACACAATTAATAACTAAATAGAATTGGATCACTAGATGCTGTCATTCTGGTTGAAGCCACAATTTATTGTCCTGATCAGCAATCCATGTACGGGAAGATTTCTGAGGTCATGTTTGCATGCACTACTTCCTCCCACACACGGGGAATATCTTAGCGCCAAAACAAACTTCATATGTCCACCCAGCCGCACAACGTCTCCCACTGTCTTGTTTCCAAACATGACTCCAGAAATCTTCCAGTAGATTGCTGATCACAATGAATTTTGAGCAAGCGAGTGTAGTGATCCAGTTCCATTTTATAGATTCCCCACTGCCATGGTGAACGAGACAATTGCAAGTTCTCATTGTTAGCCAGAAAAGTATGCAAATTCTTCTCCAAGGTCATATCATAGCTGAAATTTTTTATTTTTAACTTGCAACTGATCCAGCACTTCTCAAAACTCCCACCAATATTTATTAATCTATGAATTCGTATTGTGATTTTATTTATATAAAATATCAAGAGGGAAAAAAGGAAAAATGTTACTATTTATGCATTCTGTTTTATTTCTTAACCTTAGCAGCTGATTTATCAAACTTCTTGTGTCTAGCCTGGAAAGTTTCCACCGAGTTTATGCTGGAAAAGAAGAACAAGAACAAGAAGAAAAGGAGAGAAGTTCTCACCTTTTTCTTGGCTCGCAATCTCTGGCGCTGTCGTCCGCCCTTCTTCCTCTTCTTGCTGCTCGGATCCGTGCTCGTCCTCTTGGATTCCTAGGACAAAAACGTCTTCACTGAGAACGAAAGTTTGTCTTGATCAAGAGAAAGCTTTCGTTTGATCGTCCACGAACCTCAGCGAGCGCGGCGACTGTTCGTGCGTGCCTCTCCGCGTGTGTCTCGCCCTCAGATTCCATCTCTTCCTCCTCACCCTCACTGTTGAGCGTAACTTTGAGCTTTCCTTCCGTCATTTTCTTCAAAGAACGACGATGGCCCTTCGAAAAGAAGGAAAAAAAGAGTTTATATCATCCGACAGAAGCTGTTACCTTCGAGCGCAAGTGGGAGGCCATGGTTTCCTCCGAGAGGCACACAACCTTGGGGCACACCCTGCATTTCAAAACATCTTTAACCTGAATCGCGAGAGACTGCTCCAGCTTCTCCTTCTCGCTCTCCTCCACAGCCATCGCCCAATCCTCCCTTTTACGTTTTACCTCCTTTCCTTTCTCCTCCTCCTCTTCCTCCTCCTCCTCCTCTTCATGGGACTCGCGATTGGAGACTGCACAAGCAGCTTAAACCATAAACCCAACACCAAAGAAAGAAAGAAAGGAAAAAACCCACCGGGCTTTTCTCCATCGTCCTCTCCGGAGTCGTCCGACGAGGAGGAAGAAGAAGACGACGAAGACCGCCCATGGAGCACAGCGTAGTTCTGGCGCTTAAACATGACCAAGCACAGAATGAACCCTAAAAGAGAGATCAAAAGAGGTTAGAGAAGGATCAGTGGAATTGCGCCCAAGCTGCTGTCTTCTTGGGATCAGGCTGGCTTTCTTGGGATCCTAGTAGACCGCTTTCCACAGTTTCGAAAGTATATGTATCTCATATTTGTATCTAACTACATATGAGAAACTGCTCAAAGTGTTTTCAAGAGATGTAGTTCACACATTTTCAGAATCCACTAATACCTAGTGCTTCCAAACTTTACAGTCATGGAACTGTTTGCTCTTTACTGCTCCACGACAGGGCTGCGCCATGAAGGCTAAAAAGCCCAAAAAACACGCCCCACAAACTCGCGCTACCTTTCCTCCCATCTCCAGCCGCGCCCTGATCTTCCTCTACATTGACACCATTTTTTCACATTACGACAACTGAATTGTCAAGCTCAGCTTCTTTCTCAGGCGATCAAAACTCCTTTAACTTGTTCTTCTAGAGATGGTACCATCTCCTTTCCACGTTGTCTCTGTCCAGATCACTTTCTTCTTCTCATGATCAAAGCTCACTAGGTTCATCGATCAAAATCTCGAATCCCTCGATTCACTAGCTTCTACTTCATAATAGTCCGATCCAAATCATGTTATGGCTACATCCATCTAGTGCGATGCCTTGCCACTCCGCCGATTCCCGATCCCCTCCAGGACATCGGGCCTCGCTTCGCAATAATACGCCTGGATTTCGCGGTGGGAGGCCTGATTTCTCCCCTCGCCTGAAAACTGTGCTGGTGATTCCCCGCGCGTTCGTTCACTGGCAGCTCAATGTGCTCCATCGCCACGCTCAACTCGCAGCAAAATGGAGCCCAGCTTATCGCGTGTTTGGATCTGGGATTAGGCATTGTCCTCGCTCAAAACCCAGAGAATATTTGATCTGGTATATTCTTGGGATCTAGATGTTTAGGGCTACCCTTTCGCGGGTAATGTTAATGGTTATAACCTTTTGCCAAATAACTAGGCGAGTTATTTGGAATCTACAGGGGATTTTAGGGCTTCTTTGTGTATGGGCAGAGAATGGAAGTGGGAGGAGGCCACTGCGGGAGCTGTTGCCGGGGTTGCCACCGTCGTAGCTTTGCATCCTCTCGACATTGTTCGCACGCGATTCCAGGGTATGCCTTCTCTTTGGTTTTCTTTTCTCTCCTTTGCAAGCGGCGTTTCTTCGCATTGAGCTCCAGCCGACGATGGTCGAAATCGTTTTGTTCATCAGTACAAGAGCACTGCCAATGCCTTGCTCACCATCGCGCGAACAGAGGTCTAGAAATCGAAAGTTTTTTACGCAAGGTGTGACTTTTTTGCCTTCCTTTTGGCAGGGTGTGAAAGGATTGTATGCCGGCCTTTCTCCTGCCGTGTTTGGTTCTAGCTTGGCGTGGGGACTCTATTTTCTCTTGTAAGTTTGACTGTTATTTTAGTTCGTGATGCCATGGTTTTCATTTTATTTTTTTCCACGCAGTTACAGTAATATCAAGGAGATGCATCAAAGAAGATTGGGAGGAGAGCTCGGTCCAGGCCATCACCTCGTTGCGTCTGCTGAAGCTGGTGCACTGGTAGACAGTTTTTTTGCTTTTTTTTCCTTTAGTTGTTCTTGTCTTAAGTTTTTTTAAACTTTATCAGGTCTCTGCGATGACAAATCCCATATTTCTAGTAAAAACACGGCTTCAGCTTCAGCCTCCGAATGGATCTCAGCAGCCTTACTCGGGTTTTATGGGTGAGAGACATTTCTTTTTCATTTTTCCTTTCCTTAGCTACATTGGCTGCACAGATGCTTTCCACAGCATTCGTAAAGTTGAAGGCTGGAGGGGCTTTTACAAAGGCTTTGGTCCGAGCGTACTTCTTGTAAGTTTGTCCATTTCTTTGGCAAATTGATGATTTGATGGAGTCAGGCATAGGTGTCACACGGAGCACTTCAGTTTATGGCGTATGAAGAGGGCAGAAAAATGGCGATTGCAGCTCGCAAGAGAGTGGATCCTTCGGCAACTGAAAACTCTCTAGTAAGTTTTCCTTGCTCTTACTTCTTTGGAAGATTTTGTTCATAACTTTGAAAATTTGTGATTCTCGCAGACCTCTCTAGATTTTGCTGTGCTTGGTGCTACGTCCAAGCTTTTTGCGCTATTTTTAACTTATCCCTACCAAGTAAGCCTCATCTCACTCATGGATTTGATGTGTGACAAAGGTGACTTTGCAGGTTATTAGAACACGCTCACAGGTACTTCCATGGATTTTCATTTGTTCTAATGAAAAGTCTTGTGCTTATTTGGATGTTGTAGCAAAGACCTGACTCGCAAGGATCACTGAGCTACAGAGGCGGCTGGCACGCTTTCACTGAGACACTCAAGTAAGCAAACTCCCAGTTATTCCTTTTCAATCATCGAGTTTTTCACAGATATGAGGGAGTCCGGGGTTTATACAAAGGAATGGTACCAAACCTACTTAGAGTTGCTCCCTCATCCTCCATCACTTTTATTGTCTACGAGAGTGTGAAGAAGATTCTGTTGAGATAGCTTCCAACTTTTAACAAATTTTTAACTCAAATCCCTTTCCTTCAACAAAAGTGATCCATATGTAGTTGAAAATCCATGGCAAAGCATAAAAACATCATAAAATCTACGAATAACAGTCGGACGTTCTTCAGAAACTGAAAGCAATTCGAGCGTGAACGGCAGGATTCGAACCTGCGCGGGCAGAGCCCACATGATTTCGAGTCATGCCCGATAACCACTCCGGCACGTTCACATTATTTGATTTGCAAAAGCGCGCTTTAAAAAAGCGAAAAAAACATGAGAGAAAATCATTTCGTGGACGGCAGGATTCGAACCTGCGCGGGCAAAGCCCACATGATTTCTAGTCATGCCCGATAACCACTCCGGCACGTCCACGTCATTGATGAATTCATTAATCTGATCATCTCATGTATTTAATTAGCGATGGTTTTCGCGAAAACAGTTTGCTCTATATTACAACGTCCGCTTACATTTAACTGTCGAGTGTGATTCGATACTCTTCCAGTTCTCCATCTTGAGCAAGGTCACTCTCTCTAATCTCCCGGATCAGCCTCTCCATCTCCTCCACTCTCCCATCCCTGGCGCAGCACTCCAAAACGATCTTGTAACTCGCCAAGCTCGACACTCCCTTGATCTCCTCCAGCACCTCCATCGCTCGATCCAGCTTGCCGCTCTCCTTGCAAAGCTCCGCAAGAACAGCCTCAAACCCAGCCACCATCTCGCGCTTCTCCCTGCTGCCGCTTTGCTGCGACAAAACCTCGAGGCCCCTCTCCACCTTGCCGTGCTCGCACAAGCTCTTCACCAGCGTGTTCACCGTCAAGGCGTCTGGAAGGCACTTGTCCGCGAGCATTCCTTGGAAGATCTCGTCGGCCTCGTCCGCGAGGCTCTCCATGCACAAGCACCGAACCAGCCCCTGCTCCGGCACCGATCGCTTCTTCACCATCTTCCTGTGGATCTTCACGACGCTGCTACTCCCACCCGGCTGCTTGCACAGCGCCACCATGAGCGCGTTGTAGAAGAATCCATTCGGAACCAAGTCCCGCTCGTGCATCGTCTCGAGCAGGCTTTGAGCCTCCGCGAGCTTGCCGTCACTGGTTAGCGCGCTGAGGATGCTGTTGTAGGCCTCGGAGCCTGGCCTGTGATGCTCGGGAATGGCCTGTAGAAGCTTGAGAGCTTCGTCCACTCTCGCCACCGCGCAGAGGCCATCGATAAGCGAGAAGTACATCCCGGAAGTCGGCACCACCCCCGCTTCCAGCGAGCCATCGAAAAGAGCGAGAGCTTTGTCCACCATTTCCTGCTTGCAAAGTGCCGAGATGATGGTCCCATACGTGATGGTGTCCGGAACACAGCCTTTCTCCACCATAGCCACGAACAGCTCCAGAGCTTCGTCCACTTTGTCCAGGCCGCAGAGACCCGAGATGAGGGAGTTGTACGTGTAGACGTTTGGAATGCAGCCTTTGGCCTCCATAGCGCCGAGGAGCCTGCGAGCATCGTCGAGCTTGCCTGCCTTTCCCAGCCCGTCTATGAGAGCGCTGTAAGTCACCACGTCCGGAACTCGGCCCTTCTCAATCATTGCGTCGAAGAGAGTGATGGCCTCTTTGATCCTGCCTTCCTTGCAGAAGCCGTTGATGAGCGAGGTGCACGAGACGACGTCCGCCAGGAATCCACTAGTGCTCAGCAGCTCTCGGGCCTCGTCAACTTGCCTGGCTTTGCAAAGGCCGTCGACGAGGATGTTGTAAGTCACGACTGTTGGCTTGACACCTCTCTTGAGCATCTCCTTGAAAGTGGTCATGGCCTTCTTCCACTTCCCCGCCCTGCATTGGCCGCAAATGAGGGTGTTGAAAGAGATAGCGTTCGGCGAGCATCCCTTCGCTTCCATGCCAGAGAGTAGAACCTCGGCCTCGTCCACTCTCTTCTCCTTGCACAGGCCGTTGATAACAGCGTTGTGGGAGACAACGTCAGGAACGCAGCCTTTCTCGTCCATGTCTTTGAGCATGAGGAGAGCGTCCTCGACTCTGCCTGCCTTGCACAGCCCGTCGATAAACACCGTGTAAGTGATCGCATCCGGCTCCAGGCCGTGCTTTACCAAGCCGGAGAAGAGCTCGAAGGCTTCGTTCACTCTATCTTCTTTGAGCAGGCCATCGATGAGGATGTTGTACGTCGGCACCTCAGGCTCGTAGCCTTGCCTCAGCACACTGCCGAAGAGCTTGAGTGCTTCCGAGACGCCCTGTTCTCTTGCCAGGCCATGGATGAGAGCGTTGTAGGAGACGATATCCGGCTTGCAGCCGTTCAATACCATCTTCTCGAGCAGCTGCCTGGCACTCTCCAAACGCTTGGCCTTGCCAAGGCCGTCGATCAAAGAGTTGTAAATGATCGTGTGAGGCCTCAGCCCGAGCTGGATCATCTCGTGGAAACACTTCATGGCCTCGTCAACCCTGAGCTCCCGGCACAGCCCGCTGATCAAAGTGCTGTAGGTGATCACGTTCGGAGAGAATCCCTTGTCGACAATCAGCATCCGAGCCTCGTCAACCCGGCCGTTCTTGCAAAGCCCGTTCACCAGAGAGTTGTAAGTCACCACGTCCGGAACCAAACTCTCGGACACCATCCTCTGGAGGATCCTCTGCGCCTCGTCCAGCTTGTCCGCCTTGCAGAAGCCATTTATGAGCGCGTTGTAAGTCACCACGTCGGGAACAAACCCCCGCTTCACGGCCCCGTCAAATATCTTAAGCGCCTCGTCAAGCTTGCCGACCTTGCAGAATCCATGGAGGAGAGTGTTGTAAGTTACAACGTCTGGCGAGTATCCGGCCTTGATCATCCTCTCGTATAGCGCCTGGGCATCGCTCATCCTTCCACCATTGCAGAGGCCGCTGAGAAGAGCATTGTAAGTTATCCTGTTTGGCCAGAACCCGTGCTTCCTCATCCCATCGAAGACCGTCTGTGCGTCACCTATCCGGCTTGCTCGGCAAAGCCCGCTGATATAGATGTTGAAAGTGCTGATATCGCACAGTCCCTTGACGAGGAGCTGCTCAACAAACCTGTGAGCCTTCTCGATCTTCCCGGACTTTAGCAAGGATCGTAGCAAGATCCCCACGGTGTAAGCGTCCGGCGAGTAGATCCTCACCAGCTTGTCATACACGGTGTGCATGACGTCGTACATCCGGTTGGAGAGAAGCAGCTCGAGCAGCAAGTTGTAAGCGTTGAGGCTCGGTCTGTGACCATTCCTCTCGGCCCACTCGAAGAGATCCAAAGCCACGCTTCCATCCTGTAAGTTCTTGAGAGCTTTGACGAACACGTTGGGACGTAAAGTCCCATTGCCACAGTCGAGGAGGCGATCGAAGTTCCCGAAAGCCGCCTCCTTGAGGACCTCGCTTGGAACATCGTAGGAGGAGAGGGCTGGGGCTCGGCTACCCGAAGGAGCATCCTCTTCCATCTTGAGGCTTGGAAGCTCTTGGACGGGAAGCTTCACGGCCTCACACCTCTGGCTTGATGAGCAGGAATTCCTGTGATTGATCCTCCTCAGGCACTGGCGGGCGGGGACCCCTTGCTCCACGCGCCTGCCCAGAAAATGCTTGTGGCAATCGACAAGCTCCATAGCTGCCCTATGAAGCTATGGAACTAAAAATCGCGGAAGTGATGCGATCTAATAGAATGCTGCCTAGCATTTATCACCAAGAATCTATAAATTACATCCTCGGATTGCAGGATTGCTGCCGGCAGGAGCTGCAACGCTGGAATCCACACTTTCAGCCATAAACCCTAAGCCCTATCCTGTACCCCTCTGAAACTCGAATATCCTTAGATATTTTGGGAGATTAGGGCTAGTGTTTAAGGGTTAATAGAATATACTGTTCAAAGGTACATTTTTATTTCAGATTTTAATTTAGATAAGTCACCATTTCTTTTTCTTTTATTATATATTAAGATCCTAGAATTCTGGATAATGAAATGTGAGTCTTTGTTTTGGATCATTGGCTTCTCGAGTGATGAAATATGATATTTGGAATATTAGTTAATACTTTTCTTATTTCTATGTCATTGACATATAAATATGTTTATTTAACAATATTATTACAAAATAAATACTTTTTATAATTATCATAAAAATCATATTTACATAATATGCATAAATTATTTACAGAGTCTTCATAAATAACATTTAAAATCATAATAAATTATAATTCAATATTTTTAATCTCTATTTTAAATCATTTTTCTTGAGAGAACCCTGAGAGAAGAGGTAAATTAGGATTACTAGAGACCAATACTTATACAAATATTATATGGTCTAAATCTATAAGCCTAATTAAGCTTATACTAATATTTTTTATTTATATAGTTTATAGCCACTATCACGAATATGATTACAAGTATTGAAAGTTACTTATTGGCTAATATTTTTAGATATTCTTTCTTTACTGCCACAATAGTAATGCTAGTTCCTTTTTCAATCTCCACTTAAGTTAGTTGAGAAATTAGTGATTATGTATGTACTTATATTGGATAAACATAAAGTAGGAAATTTTATATGTTTTTTTGTTGAGTATGCTCAGCCTAGTATGAGAAACTCATATGTTAGCTTGCATTTGCTAGTGTTGGGAACTCCTATGATATTAAGTTTGGTCTTTCAATATTTGCTAAATGATAGTTTATTGTGTCTATTAAACACCCTTGCTATCATACACTTTGTGTTAGTTCCATTCATTTTTAATTGCTATTAATGAAAAGTGTCAAGATTTGTTAATTTGACATATTTACGGAATATAGAAATTATCTTGAACACAATGGTGCTAGCCCCGTGTCCAAATTCATAATCTAGTACCATTTTATATTCAATAAGTTTCAAGTTAATTGTCAAGAATCCCTCAATTCTTGCCACATTCTTGACTCTCACTAGATTCTTATAGACTATATTCCTGACTCTCTAGACACTTTCCTATTCATGATTCTCTGATTTCCCATACAATTCTTGAGTTTCGAACCACATTCTTGATGATGACATAGCACCTCCTTGACCTCAGCTATATTTAGGCCATCCTCGATCCAAGAGTGGTGGAGCTTCATCAACCTATAGTATATATAAGTTAGCTTTATTCCATTTCTCCACAAATCTGAATCAATGCTAGTCTAAGGCTTCTTCTTCATTTCCACTAGTTTTTCTCTGTCTTCTGCATTTTTTAGTCTTGATCTTGTTGGGGGTCTTAATAGTTTGATTCAAATTGTGTTTTTTGCTTTTACTTTAGCTCGTTTTGATTGTTTGATTGCCTTCCCCTTTTCTTTCTTCTTTGCCGATGGAGTCTCCAAGCCATCCTGATTTCTTTGCCAAAGTCCTTGCAAAGATCCAGTTTTAGAATACCGAGTTGAAGGCAACCCTTCTTCACATGCAACAGGAGCTTGCTTCACTTTTGGCTCAAGGATCAAGCAGAGTTCCTGAACCAAAGGTGAGTTTCCCAGTGAAGTTCTCAGGCAAGTGTTCAGAGCTTCACGGATTCTTAAATTAGATGGAGTTGATCTTCGCACTTCAACATCGGCAATACCCCATTTCCGAGTCTCAAATCAGCGTGATCGAGATGTTGCTCAAAGGTGTAACTTTGTCATGGTTTTTTCCTCTCCTAGAGAAGAGCATGAAAGGGGTCGTGGTTCTGGAGCCATAGTTATGAACACGAACATGGAACACGAACACGAGCCTCAGATTTCAGGAACCCAAACACGGAACACGATCACGGCCCACGATGGCTCACGAATATTCTACTGAATATTTCTTGTTACCTGGGATGAGAGGACAACTCACAATATCCTTGCTGCCTGGGCCTTCTCCTAACAGATGAGCTCGCACACGATCAACACCACTCAATTTGTTCACCATTGGGCAGTATTTGCATGACCATAATTTGTGGCCATGCCCCCTGCTCTCAAGAACACTTACCTCATCCCACCATCGCGAAGAAGGATGCTTTCGCAGTATGCTGGATTGCTGCGCCATGCTTGTTTGCCTTGGATTGCTGCTGCTGTGCCCTGAAATGGTGCGCCCTGGCTGGATTGTCGTGTGATGCCATGCGCCCTAAAACCAGAATATTCCATGCGAGAATATTCTGAACAGTGTTCCGTGTTACTAACACGGACCACTGTTCACGAACACAGCCGTGGCAACACGACCCATGGCCGTGTTCGTGAAACACGGTGAACACGGCCGGGATCCCGGCCGTGTTCGTAACACGGTCTGGAGCTGATGGATCTTCAGCTGTTCAAAGAAAAGCTTGAAGCATGCTTTGGCGAGACGGATCGAGTTTGGGCTGCCACCACAAAAATGAGACGTCTCTCTTAGGGGTCTTGTCTTGCCTCGATCTATGCTATAGAGTTCCAACTCCTTGCCTTGGGACACTTAGTGGGATGAGTGGGCCCTAATTGATCAATTTCGTTTTAGCCTCAATAAAAGTGTTAAGGATTTGTTGCTCACTATGGAGGATCCCACGGACCTGTCAGACGCCATTAACAAAGCTGTTCGAAGTGACAATCGTCTCTTTGAATGTCGTCAAGAAAGTTGCCGCACCGCTGTTTTCCCATCCTAGACTCAGGAATCCCAACTTGAGTCTTCAGGGCATACTCCTGAACCTATTGCTCCGGTTTCGATAAATATCTTTGGTACTCCCCGATTCATCAAAGGGAAGTTGAGTCCTACTGAGAAGCAACGTTAAGTATCTCATAATCTTTGCCTCTACTATACTGATTCTAATCACAAAGCAGCTGTGTGTCCCAAGAAGCCTCCCTAACTGCTCAAGTTCACTTTGCCTCAAGGTCCACCTCTATTGCAATTGGGAAACGACCCTGTCCAAACAAAGTAAGAGCTGTCTGTTTCGACTCCTTGAATAAAAATCATTTTTCTTCTTTATCAAGCTCCTCACCACCTTTCATCAAAGCCACCACCAATTCCTGCAACTTTTGCATCCCATGTCTCCTTTCTTTCGATGTCGAGCAACAAAGTCCGTGTCCATGAAGTAGGAAGTTGCACCCAAGTCAAGTAGCACCAAAGCATTAAGTCCTAATTGTCTGGTTGCAATTGGAACCAAGAAAGGCTGAGCACCACAAAGGAGGACTTGCTATTGATGGTGTTGAAGGCGATATCAGTGACGGTGGACCCGATGTGTACTCGAATGAGCAACATTTCCCTAAGTCCAGAAGATGGAGACACAAAATTCCCACTGATGCATTCAACCCTCAGATCTCGTATGGTAGGAGAAAGAGGAACTTTAAAGATTCTATCAATCTCATTAAGGATTTCCTGCTTCACATAATTTTGTATTCATAATTAGTATTGGTACATTAAGCATGTCAAGGATTATGGTATTGTGGAATGAAAGTCATCATTGGATGTTTGTGATAGCAAAGAAGTTGATTCTTGGTTAGAATTGTAAGAAAGTTGTTGGCATAAGAATAAAGTAAAAATTGATTTTTTTGTGATAAAGTTTATTTGTAGTGGAAGAACTACATCAAAGCTAATTTGAAGTCAACTCCTTAGAGTGAGTTAATAAAGGTTTTTCATACTTTGTCCAGCCTCAGATCTGTTAGAAGGAATTACAGCTTATCTCTCCTACATCACCATCTCCCACATCTTCCCCTGTTGTTCATCGAGTTCGAATCAAGAAAAATTCCCTAAACTCAAATTAGGGTTCTGTTTTTGACTCTACGAAATTTTCACCCTCTTCTTTCCCCTCTCTTTCATTGCCATTTCCACTCTTCGAGCCATGACATAACAATGGTTGTTTCTTCCCCGAATATGAAGAATTGGCTAACTAATCATCATGTTGACTACCCTGTAGACCATCCCATTGATCAGAGTTGACCAAGTTGATTGATGGTTTTAGCAAAAAGATTTGAGCCTTAATAATAATATCAATTAAGATTGCTAGAAAATCCTTCTTAACTTAAGCTTAAACTTTTGATGAAATATTGCACCTTTAACAGTTCATTATAGATGCTTGTGAGACTAAAGCAAATATCACAAAACTTGCAAATAATATGCATTTAAAAATAAAATCCCTTATATAATCTCTAGTAATTGGTTTTAACCTTTTCAAAATTTTTGACAAACTTCGTTAATGTTGCTTTAAACCTCAAAAATCTAATAACCTTGCCACACAATAATATCATCAAGAGATTCTTCCTCACTAACAGTATATTCCTCATTAGGATTTATATTCTGCTCTTCTGCCATCCCTAAAAAAACATGCTACTTTAATACCAATGAAACAAACAAAGAATGAGCCTTATGCCAACTTCCCAATTCTTCAAGATGTTGCATCTATAAATCCCATTAGTTATGGAATATTCTTGGAATATTCCTGTGGTTAGTGTCATATTGAGATCAATGGTTAAGTGTTCTATTGAGTTTGATTGACAAGAGATGCTCAATCTGGGACCACTCTTTTGTATAAATTTTTACAAGGGAGGGCATGCGTGGCACCCAACATACAAAATGTTAAAAAAATCATTTACTGGTTGATAAAGATGGAGGTTCGCCAGTCTGATTCAAAACTCTTTGTGGTCCAGGATCTGACGGCTGCTGCACCAGATATCCAACGGCTGCAGAGGCTCCCGAGTGAGAATTTAAGAACCTTTGCACTTCGTTCTTTGTTCTTCATTCTCTTTGTTATCAACTCATGGCTGCCTCATTCCGCCTTCTCTTGCTGCTTGCAATGGCACTTGTAATTGTGGGGCTCTCTAACGCAGCAAAAGTATGCACGCCTTTCAA